ACAACTTGTTCTCTGTACTCAAAGAGGTCGTCAAGATTCAGCTTGATGCTTTAAAAAAGTCATCTGACATCATAGAGCTATTTTAGCATCACTCACGCATTGGAAAACTTTCAAGGAAACGCGTGTGATGCCGTCAGAGTATTTACCTTCAATGCATGGCAGCATGGAAACTGCTCCATCAGCATTTTCTCAGCTAATCTGCTTGTCTGTAAAGCGCTTTCTGCTGAGCGGGTCACCTGAGATAACGGCTGTAGTGCGTACCCGGCAGATTATGTCGCTGGTGAGTAGGGTTGGGAACCGAAACTCGGTTCCAGATGAGAACCGATAAGAAAATGCCGGGTACCGGGTACCCATACAAAATACACAATTTCGGTTCTGCTTAACGGTTCCTAAACGCGGTAGACCCTGTATTCCAGCGGGTCCGTCTGCACCGCGGTGCTGCGGTGACCCGGTGGAATACAGGGCGGACCTGGAGAATCACAGAACGGCCGGTCGTCAGCGGGCCGTTGACGGCCGGCTCGGTACGCTGACGGCCGGCACCGCCCTTCATTTTTTAAAACGGCATCATATAAATTGCGCTGACAGGCGACAGAGGTCCACAGTTGCCCCGCAGCGATGCTCCCCCGCCCTCCCGTAGACATTTCACGAGCTCAGTCACTTCATAACACCAAAGATAGGTCGCGGTAAACACTCTGAAGTGAGGCTCCACTACACTAAAAAAGAAAAAGAAAAGGCAAAGTGTAATGCCTGTTAATAGCTTGCCACAGGCATAGCTCAGTTAAATAAAGCACAGCTATTGTGCAATACATTTGTATTGCATGTATATTTTTTAGTAACAATTTCAGTTAAAGCTTTTAAGAATAAATATATTTTTGTTATCTAAACGTTTGACCTCTTTATTTTACAATTTTGGAATCGAAACGGGGAATCGATAAGAACCGGAATCGATAAGCAGAACCGGAATCGAAATCGGAATCGATAAATTTCAAACGATACCCATCCCTACTGGTGAGTGTTAAGTAGATTTATTAGACGTGTCAGGTGCAGGCAGACTCTGTAGGGAAGTTTAATGGAATCAAGTAATTATCCATAACAATCCAGAGTAGTTTCCATTGGGAAAACATATCCTCCCACCAAGCAGATGCCTACTCTATCCAAATAAATTTGACACACCTGTGGTGAAAAACAAAGCAAGCAATGATGAATTTTTCAAGGCCTATTAAATATTGAAGCATGCGGGAGCAGGACACACCTGCTGCAGAGCTCTTTACCTGTGTATATAGGGACAGCTGGCTTACGCCTGTTTGGGGAAACTGGCCTGCCCTTAGTCAACAATCCCACGGAAAGCTCTGTGACATTACAGTACCTTCCAACTCTATCATTTGGGCTGCAAATCTTTTTTTCATAATACGCACCCATCTCTTCCTAAACAAGGTCAAACATAAATAACTACCGTATCTGTAACCTGACACATCTTATGTAACACGGGTTAAAATAATGACAATTATAAAGATATTTTTCTTCTCTAATTACATCTAATCATTTAACTCACAGTCCCTTCTAAAACGAACAAGGGAAAGCAAAATGTAAAGAAAAAAGAGACAGGAAATCTACTCTAAATCTACAACCATACTTTAGTTGAGAGGCGAGAGACTCCTACCTGTAGCGGACATGAAAGGACTGCTCCTCAGATCCCATGTTAACCACTGAGCCACTGGTATCCATTGATGTGCATAATATGAGGGAAAATCCCAGTTTTGTCACGGGTTTTGTTTAAAACCAAGAGCCACCAAAATAAAATAAAAAGTCTTTGGTTGAATAGGATTAGGCAAACCAGACAAAAAGTCACGGAATACGGTCAGGTCTGAGCGTCCCTCTGCTGAGTGTGGACAGGGGGAGGAGACCCCTCTGAGTGTCAGAGTCCTGAGCGCCAGTCCATTCGGCTGCGTTCATCTACTGTGTGTTTTTGCGTCACTGCACCTCAGCGGCCCTCTGTGAAGAGAACACAAGATGCTGTATGTGAAGCCTCTTTCTGGCTATACGGTGCCATGGCAACGCCAACCAAACAGCAGCGTGCACAAGCAAGGCAGGCAGAAAGTGGGGGAGCACGGCGGGAATGAAAGGATGGGGGTCAACACCCGGCAAGCTGTGACTCAATTCACCCAGGCTTGGAGATGTGTGTGTTCTAAAGTTGCTGAGAAAGCAATGAACTCCACAGAATGTAATCGATGCAGGCAGAGTTGGCAGAAACATATGATCTGAGTGTGTAAATGCAATCAAGAGGGAGAAAAGAAAAGCAACCTGCTTGATTCATCAAGAAAATTGTGATTCAATTCAAATTGAAGCTCGGAAAAATGAGAAAACAGAAGATCCTACTGTGCTTATGCAACTTCCACCAGAGGAAAAGACAGTGATAAGCAAGCTACATGGATAAGATAGACCCAAGCAAAGACCAGAGCTAATCATTACCTAATTTCTCCATGAGGTCATATTAGACACACTCATCATCCCCCCACACACAAAAGGGAAAATGGGGCAGACCAGTTTTGAGCAAACTGGGTTAATTCTTGATGCTAATAACAGTTAAAACACAACAAAGACATGACAAAAATAGCAGTGTGTTTATTTGAAAACCTTCCAGAGACTGTTAAAACACATGGCACCGGCACATGGCATTGCATTTGATAGTTTTGGCTCTGTATATGAAGGTTCAAGGTTCTTTATTTAGTCATACGATATGTGACCAGTCACTACTGTGCTCTTTTTCTAGCAACTCAACGTGTCCCGCACCACATAGGTAACTTAATACATTACTGAATTGCCTTATTGTAATATTACTTCAAAGTAAAAAACGTAATGTACTGTGACTAATCCAGGCCTAGTCCTACTGACTGTAAAAGGAGGCCGGTGTTAATAAAGTACTTTTGATTCGGACCTTTGATCTGAAACATGCTTAAAATCAGCACTGAGCTCATACTGCAAGAAGAGAAACCTCTTAAAAACAGATGGCAAACAAAACAGAAACAAGAACTGTTTTGACAAATTGCAGAACTTAATCATGCCTTGTTGATGTCAGCATCTCTTGTTGTTCTGGTAAATTCCTCTTCATGAAAAGGCTCCACAATGTGAGTGGTGGTGGTAATTCAACACTAAAGCTAGAACTGAGGGGAATATACATAGATAAGCCTTGTTTGTGGAGAACAAACAACTGTGAATATAAGAGTAGTGTTGTGGCTGCTGAGTGCTATTGCAAGAGGAGGCTTGTATCTTACCAATGCATTAACTAAACAAAACAGCCTCTGGCAATTCATAGCACATATATATGGAATTGTCTGACATTAAAAAGCTACACAAAATGATCATCTCTTGCCCAGCCTGTTCTTCCTGCTGGTGTGTGAATGTGAAAAGTTATAATACAAACTATGCTTTGTTAGTGTGTGCACTACATGTTCCTAGACATTATTATAATCACCTATTGATGTGTGCCAGTGTTCATGCAGCCTTTTCCGCTATTGTATGCCAACTGGGTGTGTTTTAAAGAGACCTGCCAAACTACAGTTAAAGTAAGCATGACCAAGCGTGTAACAGGAAGAAAAAGGTCCATGACTAAAAGGAACATAAAAGGACACAAGAGGTTGTTTTGTAATGACAGCTTCACGCAGGTAATCATCACTGACTCTTGAGTCCCAAAGAGGACATGATTTCATCTTAAATACACACAGCAGATGGGACCTATTTGTATTGTGCTTACAGGCCATAGATGCACCAAAATGACTGCTGACGCATACAGCCCAATCTAAATATGGAAACACCTTTCAGCATTACACCATGAGCCAGCACCAAAACAATGAAACAGCAACATAAGTACTGGGATACTGACCGGTAAGTCTTCCACACAGGAACAGGAAATCTGGGAAGCCTGCAAGGAAAAGTGTTGTGACCATGAATAACTGTACACCTAGTGGTGTTGCAGAACAAAGTATATTGAGAGTATTTTGCCTACATTATTATGCCGATTATGGACACTATGATACATTGAAATCACACTAAATAAGTGGAGATTTACACCCTCAGTTTCCAGTTTATGGGATACATGAACATGGTATACATAATAACTCAATGAGGGAAGGCTAAATATTAGAAACCCAACTCACAATAAGGCAAAAATATTTCAACAGACTCTCAAACTACAGCCTCCAAAATAACCATCCATTTCTAAATCAACACCTTTGTTTTTCAACCAAAAAATGTATATATATTCCTCGCAGGGCTGTTGCATTCGTTTTAATTAAGTTTACATTATAAACTGGCAACTGATTGTATATGCCAAATACTAATACTGGGTGAAGTGTGTATTTTTGTAAAAAGTGTGCATTACTAAACTGGCATAAGATGTAATAGGTTAATGTGACATGACATATGTCACTATGCAACACAAATGCAGTTTAGCAGTAAGTATGTATACTATTTAGCTATATACATTAAGTCAGGTTTAAAATACAACATATGTTTATGATTCTTATAGATATAATCTGGCAGCGAATAAAGAGTAACATTATTGCTTATCCGAATTCCGTTATGATTATTTTTACAGGACAAATAACTGTCAGTATGAGCTTCTACAGACTTTTTTTTTAGCGTTACTCGTCAATAAAAGGATTTGAAGGGAGGATTGTGATAAAACACGATCTTGATGCACTATATTTTTGTCTTAAATTTAACACCGACTCAAAGACTCAACATTGGGCAGTGAATTCACCCCTCTTTAGTTACACTATCACATCCAGCTAGAGATTAGCAAGCTAGCATGTTAGCTGCTCAACTTACGTTAGACGATCCAGTTCGAACAATGGTGAATTATCCTCTTCTTTTCTTTACTTTCTCACAAGAATAAAAACATAAGGTCGATTTTTTTTAAACGCAGACGTCTGTTATTTAGTGTCAAACTGTACTATAGTTAGCCTTACACTACATTGTCCTTTAACTTTTGTAAAACTTCGATTTAACTTCGGGCGAGAAAGAAGAAAAACCTTGTGGCTGTACTGTTTTCGCCGAGTAGCCAATCAGTGGGTGACATTCAAAGATAGCCACGCCCTGAACAACTGTCATTGGACCAATAGATTTGAATAGAAAAGAGATGACGTTTTATTTTCATGATTTGGCTGTCAGTACCAGACAAGCAAACTTGATCATGTATGACTTTTAGACACACTTTTGCTCAGTGTAAGCACAGACACACTAAAAGACTCTCAATAAGTGTCTAAATACATGGTTGTATTGACTTGCTAACGCTAACTAACATCAGTTAGTCTTTTTGGTGGTTTCACTATCGTCTCCTAGCAACCTAGTACGTACGCCTGTACGCTGCCAGCCGGGCTCCAGACGCTCAGCGCTGCCGTGCATACTTCATTATTAATGATGCCACAGACACTAAACCTTTCGAGAAAGCATATGTCAAGAAAGAAAGACTCAGAAACACTGCAGCTCGTTGTAGGATGATGTCAGGGGAAGGAGCAGCGGCTGTGGACCGGATCAACTAATGCACTGCTGAGAACCAGTTTAAAGGCGGAGTAAGTTACCACATCAACGTAATGTTAGACTGTAAAGTTAGCAAATAGCAGAACGGGAACTGAAATGTGTACTTGCTTTTTGACTGTTCAGTGTTAGTGTGTAGCCTATTTGTTGTAATGCCGCACTCAACATGGTGGAACAATTACTGAGTAAATGCACTCAAGTAAGCTACTGCAGCGTTAGTATTTTAAAGTAGCCTGTAATGCAATTTAATTGAGCTTTTTTATTTTTTGCTCATTGAAACTTATATCCTACTTCAAGGGTGGAGGTAATCTTCACTCCACTACTGTAGTTACTTTGCAAACTAAAATGAATTACAAAAACTGTACTAAACAAATTATTATTCTTAATAGTTAGAATAAAAAGAGCGTGAACTAACTTACTTGTAAGATTTTGAATCTATGAGTTGTATCTGTGGTTAACAGATTTGCACTTCTTTCATCACTCATAACAACTCATTACATTCACTCAAGAAGCTATACAGTAGGGTACTTACAGTAAAGTTTGGATTACTCATACTGCACTTGAATAGGTCTTCTGCTACTTAATGTACAGTATATACTATTACAAAATAAATAAATACAAATGTGAAATAATGTGCATTTTATTTTATTACATTTATCTGACATATAGTTACTATACTGTACATACAAATATTACAATAAATATTGATATGTATTATTATTTTAGAATATGGATACAAAATAAATACCGGTAACTGCAGCAAAATGCACAAGAGGTACTTTTACTTTTGGTAAATGTAAATGCTGATAACACTTTTTATAAACTATTATTTAAAATCTAGGACTTTTTCTAGTAATGGAGTATTTTTGTATTTTGGAATTTATTTTAAGTAGTTGACTAACATTTCTTATACTGCTGTTTCACACACACTTTCAACCATAAACATCATTCACACAAACACTGTACTGTACAAGTCACGCAAACATTTGACCACACAATGCAAAGTGTGTTAAATAATTGACGGATTAGCACATTTTGATCCAATGTTGTCACTTAACAAGTTGCGTTGCTAAGTGATGAAAACAGGTGCTCCATCCTCCTTCCTTACCCCCTGCCTTGACACAGGTGAAAACAGTGTCCATGGAGGGAGAGGAATCAGATGAGGATGTTCAGGGAGAGGACCTGCCCACTGTTCTCTGGGAGAGGTGCATTCAGCAGAGCATCTTTGTTGACCTCAGTGAGGATGAAAGTCTCCACCTCAGTGATTTGGAGAGTTCTTTAGTCTTACATCTGTCCGAGGCAGAGTCTGCAGCCTCAGAGTCCAGCATCCATCTCAGCGGTGAGTCCTGGAGTCACCTCTATTTATTATTTTAGTTTTTTGGTTGGATGTTAAACTGTCTGTTTTCATTTATCCTGAACTATACATCAATATACTTTCTGAAAAACTCTATAAACTTTTAGCAAAGTTTGCATTAATAAAATAGTCGTTCTCTCAGATTCAGAACAGGTTCCTAATATATATATATTGTAATGACTAATGATTCACATTTAGAGCTTTCTTTAAAACGTGAAATGTTATATGTCCACAAAGTGAATGCAATGGCTTAAAGGAATCCATGCAACCCTCTATTTTGGTATTTATGTAGTTGTTGTTCTTTAACTTACAGGGAGCACAGAGCTGTCACCCTTGGACGTAACCTCCTCAGAGTCCAGTTCTGTCAGCAGTCAGAGTAAGAGGGTTGTAGAGAGCAAGACCAAGAGCAGCATATTGCATGTGTCTGCCCAAAGACCGAACACCGTGCAAGATGAGCAGCCATTAAAGCGTGAAGAACCAGGACAAGATACCAGTGACGAGGATCAGGATGACTTACCTTATGATGGTGCCCTCGGAAGCCTCTATTTCAACCAAACGGCTACCTCTGAGGTTGATATGAGCTCTGACAGAAGAGATACATTTCATTCAAGTCCTGATGTTCCTGGTGTGCTTGAATGTAATAGAGGAGATAGAGAGGAAATCATCGAAGGCTTGGCTTCTCTTGGTCATAACTCTGAGAAACAAGAAACTTTGTCGCAAGTGGATGCCAATACTGAACGGGAAAACCGTTTGGATGCCTCCAAGTCATTTAAGGTTGCCCCCCCATGTCCTTGTCCTTCAGATATGAGCCAGCTGTTGCTGCAACATTTCTCCCAGGAGGAGTTATTGCGGTCAGGTAGGCTGATCGAGGCGGAGACCCTGCCAGAGGTGTCTCTGCTGGAGAGCGTGGAAGACACTTTGTTTAGCTGGCGTCCAACACATAACAGCACAGTAATTAAGAGTAACCACTCAGAGAGCCCTAATTGTAGTTCCAAGACCAACCAGAGCTTCTGTTCGGACATGAGGAATGAGAAGACTGCATCAAAAAATTCAAGTTTAGAAGAAAAAGCAGAAAGTGAAATTGATAATGTCCCCTCTGCTGCTTCTGACAGTATAATATCTTGCTCTCCAAGTATAAACTCAGAACAGGGCAGTGGGGATACAAGTGATGTAGATCTAGAGAATCAGGAAAAGGATGAAGAGGATCATCTGGTTCAGAGAGGCCCACTTGTGCGCACCAGGTCCTTCAGCGACATCAAGTATGGCCAAGGCAAGGTCCATTACCCACTCCCTGACTTCTCCAAGGTAGCCTCAAAGGTAAACATCCCCAAAGCTCCGAGTGGACCTGTCAAACCTGTTCCTCAGAGTCCCAGCACCATGCACAGAGCCCAATCCTCTCCAGGGATGTTAGATTTGATCAACAGAGTCATGGAAGATTCAATCCAGCCATCTGAGAAGCCCTATGTCTTCAAAGACGAGGACAAACCGACTGCTCCAGCACTGGTGCATCACCTGCAGGTAGAAACATTCAGGATGTAGTCTGCCTTTGGTGAAGTTTGCTTGTATTCTCTCAAAAATGTGCACACAAATAATTCTGTTCACATTCCTTGGGATTAACATTTGAATATTTCCATATGTCTTTAGGCTGAATATGACAAACTACTTACCAAGTATGCTGAAGCAGAGAACCTTATAGATCAAATGAGAATAGGAACCAATGTAAGAAAAAAGTTGGTGCATTTTTGACTGACCCATATCATGTATGTGCAAGAAATCATTTACAGTTTCAGTAACCTTACGGTTATGGATCTCTTTAACAGGTTCAGCCCTCCTCAGAGGTGATGCTTTATTTAGAGTGTGAAGATGATCATCAGGGAAACTTAGTTGAGGGAAGCCATGTTGGATCTTCGCCTCCTCGCCTTCCCACGTCAGGTACGTCTCAGTGTCGACATCTGATATTATGACAGGACAGCATTATGCAGTGAAGCGTGCAGCTGGTTTCCATAGTGATAAATGAGGTCAGATGACACTTTTCTAGTTGCACAGACCTCTTTACTTTGCTGATGGAGCACTTCAATAAAGTGGAAAACAATGGTTAACTAAACAATTTAACACCTAACTGAAATATATCTATGGGACATTTTTAAATCACAACTCGTAGCTGTATGATTCATGTTTAATTTGTATTTATTTTTTATAGTTTATAGTTTACCAAAATTAACAAATTCGAGCACACTGATTAAATATTAGCTTATGTTCTCCATCATTTACACTGATGAGGTAAATACAGAATAAAACATTTATAAAAAAAGTGATCTGTAATCTAAAGATTAGATGTTATAAAGGAAGGTGTAGGGTTATATGTATTGTCCCAGAGGGGAACATTGTTTTCGACCCAATGCTTTTGTTGCTCTTCCTAAAAATAAAAAACATCTGACAACATAACAAGTTGACATTGACAGCAAGGCTTAAACAATAACCTGTGAGTGCAAAATGTACAGTATATATTAATATGCTGTTTGTTTTGCCAAGCGTCCTTGGGTTTCATGAAAGGCACTATATAAATCAAATGTATTATTATTATTATTCAGTGTGTTTCAATCTAGCCTTGCTTTGAATTAAGAACATTTTGGTGAGAAAGGAGAAACAACCCCCCAGAGCAACACCACAGTGGTGACCGCCGCTTCCTCCAGCCAGCCTGAGGAGGGTCCCAGTGACGGGGAAATAATGACTGCAGAGCTGACAGACATCATCAGCCAGTTCATGCAGAATGTAAGTTTGAAGATGAGTCAGGATATTACTAAGTTGCCATAAAATGCACTCAACCATTTATCAACATTCTTCTATTTAGGTGGAAGAATTCAAATTGAGTGTGAGCAAAATGTCAATGAGCACGGCAGAACAGCAAATGGTTAGTATTGTTCCTTTACAGATTTCTATATGTGAAGTACAGAATATGGTGATGAATAAAATATAAATCGTGTCCATTGTCAGATGTTGAGGAGCATGATGGAGGCTCAGGACCAACTGGAGAGAAAATACATCAGTAGGAAGGAAGAGCACCGAGCTCTGGAGATGCAAAACTACATGGGCCTGTGTAGGAACGCCGGCACATTTGACCCAAACAGGTTAAAACCACACAACCATCGCACCACTGTGATAGTGTCAGTATCATGTGTTTGCATCCATTCACGAAATGTGTATGTGTGTGTTAAAACATGTGCAGGTTGGTGGAGGGAGACATTTTCAGGATAGGGATGCACCTTGAGGACATAAAGGAGGTGATAGATAAAAACGTGTGTGAGCAGATATCTCCACCCCACTCGTCCTCCACTCCCACACACATGAAGGAGATGCTGCATGTGAAGCCCACTCCTCTCTGCATGCCCACACCCTCACCTCCACCATCCCTGCATGAGGTAACCAACTCACAGACACACTCACTGACCTTGGAATCTCAGTCCACCACTCAGTCCAAATATTTCAATAATTATTAGACGAATCATTTTTGGCTTTGTTTGAAATGTCACGCCACCAAGCTTGGTGATGTTCCACCTGCTCTGACAGATAAACAGACACATTTATTTGTATTATTGATATGTGAAATGATAGATTTGAAATGCAAAGGTTGGATAAGTTTTGACTATTTAAAAACAAAAACATGAATGTTAAAAGGAATTGGAAATAGTGGCATTTAACAATATATACAGGTCTATAATAGATGTGTAAAATATGTAAAAAAAAAGAAGAATCATTGACACTTTTCTAAATTATTCTAACTGCAAATTGTGTGACTGTGTCATGTTTTAGAGGCCAAGTGCACATTTTTCTACTGAGGTGTATAAGACGGAGGAAGAGGAAGAAAAAGAGGAGGAAGTGGAGGAGGCCAGTGAAGTCCATGAAGATGATGTGTTACAACAAAGCAGTGAACTCATAACAACGGACATTTTACTGAAAATTAACAGCCACTCCCATTCAAGGTACTTGTTAACATTTTTGAAACAATCGAAAAATATATGAATAATGTAGTGTGCAGAAAAACCCTCGTTTAGGATGCTATATAAAATATCCCACTGTGCATGTTTCACCGTTAGAATTGTTCCTTGCTATTGATGTTTTGAGAGGTTCTTGCATCTGTGTTTGTGCTCAATAATAACAGGCAAGTTCTCAGCCTTCCTGTGGGCAGATAGTGTTTCAGGTGCAGTGTTGGTGTTAGGTTCCACACAGTGTTTATGTCTCTGTGTGCAGGTTCTCCTCTCTGTCCTGCATCAGGAGCTCACTGGGCTCTCTGGAGGGACTGGAAGGACAGACAGCTGAAGAAGAGAGAGGCTCTGTCTTGTCAGAGGCGTTGGATCACAGTAACATCTTAGCATACTTGAGTGAAAGTAGCTCATCTTCAAGACTGAGGCATTGGACACCCCACAGGTAAGTGTACCTGACAATATAGAAGTAGAAGAGCTAACTGTTACCCCTTGCATGGCTAATACAAGTAATCCGTCTTGTAATTGCTTCAATGTGTAAGTGAGCTAACTTCACATGTATTTAAACTTTTAAACAACAAAACTCTCAAACTCCCCTCTCCCTGCTCCACAGACTCACTACATATCTCACTTGTTGTTGCAGTAGTAGCACCCCGGATAGTGTCCTGAACCAGGCAGGTGAATGTGATCTGGGCGAGAGTGCTAGTCTGGCTGTGGAGATCTCCTCTTCCTTCGATGCACCCAGACCCTCAGATAGCCTCAGTCCCTCAGAGCCGCCCCTCAACACCTCTTCTGTATCACAGGTCAGTCACAGGATGTTTAAGTTAAAGTGACGTGGAGGATGCTTCTTTGTTTTGACTGATGTGTGGTTTTTTCTGGGATGCAGAGGATTGTGAGTCCAGAGACAGACAGTGGATTTGGGAGCTCATACTTAAATCAATCCACCTCCGGACCATTTCAGCAGAATCTGCTCACAGAAGGGTACACATCCAAGTATTTATTAAAATGATCCACAGTCATTAAGTACATACCAATAACAGTTTGATCCTCCCATCTACAGTGTGCAGTCCCAGAATGATGGTTTAAGTAGCTCAGCCAGTGAGGGCTCCTGCTCCAACGTGCAGACAGCCATTCACCCTGTCCCCCAGCGGTGGGCCAGCCCCCACCCCTCTGTCCAGACACAGCCCTGTGGTGCAGCAGTGGAGCACTGGGTGGAGAGCACCACCAAGGAGCCTTCAGTCAGGCTGCAAGGTGAGCAAATCTGCCTGAAGGTAGAAGATCTGCTTTTATTTGATCTGGTCAATAAAGACGTGATTAACTCTTTTCCACCACTGACTGAACAGAGTTTGAAAGCAGCCTCTCTGCCCAGCTCCATCACCAAGTATCTGAACCAGCACTGAGCATCACCATGGATACGGAGGAGAGAGGCAGCCCACTGGACTCGTGCTCCTGCAACAGGTCAGTATGTTAAAAGAGACAAAAAGTAGTTAAAACACACAATAAAGTAAATCACATCTTAATCTTCACACTGCCTGTTTCATAGTGGACGTCTGCACATCTCTGTGTGTTTTCATGTGCTTAGCGAGGCTATCCTGGCCTTGCAGTCAGAGGTATCCCGGCTGAAGAAAGAACTGAACGAGGGCTTGGTCCAGCTGCCTCATCTGGCACAGAAGATGGACTATCTCACCTCCAAATACAGGCAGGGGCACAAGTCTAAAACCAGACCCCGGACCCACCACAGACCAGCATGCAACAGGTGAGGAGCGGGTCCTACGATTGGAACAGGATAATGGGCAATGTTAGGGTGTGTTGATGTAACATTTAGTTGTATTTTACCTTCAATATTTATTGGATAACAATCAGATAACCACAAATAAAAAGCTTCCATGAGATAAACAGATACTGCACAATAGATGCAATTCCAGAATATTCCTTTTAGACAGTTGATGAGACATGGTGATCCTTTTTATTCTTACCTTTGTTGTGTGAAGGCCACAGAGTAACACACAAACTGTGTGCCATCTCAGTTCCAGTGAGGCGAGGATAGAGGACTGGATCTCTTCAGACATGGAACCAAGCAAGAGCAAAGGTACTCTTCTACCAGTTCACACTAATAAGCAAATTGGAGCAAAACACTCCATGTCTGTAATCATTTGCTCTTCAGGTACAGACAGTGGTGACACATCTGGCTCTGAGATGATGTTACAGCTGCAGAGCTCACCTGTAGAGGGCAGGAGAGGCAGCAGCAGTGTGCGATCTGCACCTGAGAGTCAATATAAGCTACATGAGGCGCTGCAATCCAACAGAGGTCAGGGCCACACGTTTTTTGACAGTTCAGGACATCATTAATTTGCTTCTGAATTTCATTTGATGTACATAGAAAGGATAATGAATCTAATATTGTGTCCGTCAGGGTCAGAGGGAAAGGACTCTCGTCTGACCAGCTCCCCTTTAAAAGGAGGCAAGCAGAGAACACAAAGTAAGTTATTTTATGACCTTATGATTATAACGTCAACAGTTTGTTGTCATTGTGATTATTAACTGAAACAGTATGTGTTGTCTTAAATATGACAGATTTAAATTGTATTTTTCCAAAATAAACTAATTGGCATATACTAAAAAGCACAATAACAACAGTGTCCAACAGGGCAGAGATAAAACACAATCCCCAACTTCAAATAAAAAAATCATACATTATGCAGTATTGAGTTTGCTGGGAATACATACCGTAGTGCTTTTCATGTCTCTGCTGTTAGCTGCCATCATGGAGAGTTTTTACTCCAAGGGGAGGACGTCTCTTTTCTCCTCTCTTCAGAAGCCTCTTCTCCAGGTCAGCTACGGCTCCTGCAGCAGCCTGCCTGCAAGGTGAGCAAGTGACACAAACACAACTCTAACTGCAAGCAGACATATATTTATCAGAGGTTTCCCACATAAACATATTCAATGATATCATTCTCTCTTGCATTCTGTCCTCAAACTCAGCTATAAAGTGAGGGAGCCTCCGCTGCACGTCCACAGAAAGCGCTCCACCCAGTCAGACACCGCCCTCCTGCCCAGTGATGTGTACTTCCAGAGGACACCGTCCCCAGCAGCAGTGTCCTCAAAGACTATCAGCAGGACAGGCAGACGCAGAGGGAGCAAGGTGAGACATCCCACCTCTACACATGCATGGCTGCTGACTATTCTGTCACACATCCTGTCAGTATACAGGAACATCTGCTGTGTTCCTCGACAAGAAAAGCAAACAATGTCATTGTTGTGAGTTTTAGTCCATGCTCAGCTCATGGAAACTTGTTTTTAGGAGGAAGAAATGAGCAGGACTCTGGACCAGGCTATAGAGGTGGCCCGCAGCATGAAGAGGACTACCGACCGCCTGGCCAAGAGGCTTTCAGCTGACCTGGCAGAGGCTCATCTCCACAGTAAACTGCACAAGCAGCCACGAGGGGGCAGGAAGCATCGCCACAACAAGAAGAGTTCATATCAGTTTACTCTGTAATCATCAATCTGTACTGTGTGTCTTTGTGGACAATTCATTGTTGGATAATAAGTTATTTAAAGATGTGTTTGTGTTAAGTTATTGTTTTTTTTACATGATTGTATGTTTGTTTATTTATAATTTATTTGGAAGTCTGAAATCAAACTGCAAAAATAAAAATGTAAACCTTTGTAGAGTGCACTTTTATTTATGAATTGCATTTTATGTTAAACATGTTTACATTGTTATTACATGCCTTAATGCCACTTAATTATTTTTAAGGAAAAGCATCCAGCATCTCATTTATTTTCACACCGGAGAAAAAACAATGTCCAACACAAGACGACTGATATGATGCAAATGTGACCTCTAGTAAGGGCCCAGCAGAAGAAGCAATAAACATAAACCCTGTTTTTTTATAATCCGTCTTTTTTTCAGTTCTATTTCACCTGCTTCTGAACTCTTAGATATCCAGTCCAGTCAAGCTGCCAAAGGATTAGGACATCCATTTCAATCAAATTAAAACCAGGTCAGATTTTTTATCTTACATTTCAGGAAAATCCCTCTCTGTCGTTATTTCAGATGAGTGTCCTTATAGCTGCTATGCTGATGTGACACCTTAATGCGCTGGCCTGTGGGTGCTGCTGACACAGTGTCTGCTTACTGAGTTTCTGTCGGAGGGCTTTGTCGTCTCACAGCCTGCTGGTGCCGGGCTGACTTCAGTTTTTGTTTGCGGGTGTCTAGTTTCCCTGTTGTTCTGAGGGGGGTATCAGGGAAAAAGACGTGTCCAAACAACATTCCTGACCTGCTCTGTCTGATTGTTTAAAGTTCAGGTGATATTCTCAGTGTTCACTAACCTGAAGGCCACCAGCAGGGCAGAGTAGTCACAGTGAGGGAAGCGTGACCAGGGCAGTCTGACACAAATACACAGCAGGAAGTGTGAGACAGCACCAGGCCACTGTCTGGATCAAGGATTTTAGTGTGGTTTATCTCATGTTGAATGTGTAATAATAACCCATTTTTAATGTACACAAAAGCTGTAAAGATTTTTATTTTTTTACGTTGATTAAATGAATCGCCTATTTTGATGGTTGATTAGTCAGTTTGAGTTTTATTTTTGGAAAAAAAAGCTTTTTAAATATGAAGAGATTATCGTTTCTTTACTCTATGATGGTTAACTGAATATCTTTGAGGTGTGGACAAGACATTTTATGTTAAAGGTCCCATGCCATGGCCATTTCTACTGATCATAATTCCATTGTTGAGGTCTACTAAAATAGGTTTATATTGTGCAATTTTCCAAACTCACATTGGTTTCTCATACAACATCTCTGTATAGTATGTGTATTCACTCTCTGTCCTAAACGGCTTATTGGAGCTCCTGCCCCCCCCCCCCCCTCCCTGTGAGCCCACTGTGCTCACATTGGTCAGCTCGCCCACTCTGCACATCAGTGATTATGTGTAGTGTTACAATGGCGTTAGCAACCAGAAAATGACACCAGTAATGACAAACAGATGAGAATGCTGCGTGGGGTCTGTGTGCCGTGTTGGAGGGACGTTGCGCGGCTCGCTGCTGCGAGGAGCGGACAGTGTGAGCTGGGTTCATTTCCTGCTTGCTGCGTGGGGTCTGCGAGACATCGCGAATTGACGCGGGAAGGGGGGTGGTAAGGGGGCTGCAGCACCCCCATATGCGAGGCTCCACTAGCACCCCCAAACGCGGCGCACCTACAGTGTAAGCGCGCCACAGTTTTGCCGCTGCGAGGCTCCACTAGCCCCCCCCCCCCCCCCCCCCAGCGCGTCACAGTTTCGCCGCTGTGAGAAAGTGTGTGTGTGTGTGAGGAGCTCCACGAATGGGTCCATTTGGGTATGGGCACATCACTGTACCCAGGAAGAAACAAATGGAAAAAGATAAATCTCCAACGAGGCGTTCTGGGGCAGCGTAGACAGGTATTTTCTGTGTCGCTACAGGGTGTACTTTGAGGGTTTGTGACTTTGCAGACCGTTTACATGCATACAAACCTTCACAACACACAAGGGGACGGGTAATAACCGAAAAAGCATGACATGGGACCTTTAAAGGAAATGCTGTGTAGTATTATAGTAATTTCCAAATGACTTTTAATACAAATAATGATTGTTATTTGCCTTCGTGAAACCTGACTGCATGCCACATAAAACTTTCGGTTACCTTTTCACCTCATATCATGTTTGCAAATTGCGTGTGCGTGGTGCATGTTTGTGTTTGTGCGAAGCGAAGCATGTGCCCCTTACAGTAAATGAGACAACAAAGATAGTTTTTCCCCACAAAGAAATAAACATGATTAAAAAAGAAAGGTGCGGGAAAGACACAGAAAACGATTGGATAACTCCTTTCGTTGTGATTATCAGACAACATTTTTAACAGCTGACAAAATAAGACAATTGAGAATAAAGAAAATGCTGATCAATTTCTCAACATTTTTGGAAAGTGTGTTCTATGCAGTATTTTAGTCATTTATAAATGCAGCACTGCAATGAGTGTGCATGTGTGTTTGTGTGAGGCAAAGCATGTGCCCCTTACAGTAAATGAGACAACAAAGATAGTTTTCCCCACAAATAAATACGATTTTTTTTTTTTAAAAAGGTGTAGGAAAGACACAGACACTGATTGGATAACTCCTTTCTCTGAGATTATCAAACAACGAAAGTGTTCTTTACTTATATCTTTATGATATTCACTCCAATTGAAGGGTCAAAGGACTTGAATAACGAGGTTTACTTAGAAAACTGTACAAAGAAGATACTGGTCATCTGCCCTGCTACCTCCTAGAAAGTTGCTCAGGATACTTATTTTGTCTTTAGAGGATTTTAACAGCTGATTTTCTTTGTCTGCTTTGGTAGGGATTCAACATTTGTATTCAAAGTGGGCCTTTGGAGTGCTGTCCCGGTTTTGTAAACATGTTTTGGGGATGAGAAACAGTCCTCAGTGTCAGGGTTGGAGAAAAATAGGACCCAAATGCAGATTGAGGAGGGAAGCGGGTTTCAAAATGAAACAAAAGGCGAGCTTTATTTACAAAAGCTAAAAACACGAATCCATGAACAGGTACTGTAGCACGAGGTAGCATCCAAACAAAGGTGACTGTGGCCAACATGAAGGGAGACATGAAAGACAAACAATGAACCAACACCGAACACAGGAAGAGACAAGACTAAATACAGGGAGGGGTAATCACGAGACGAGAAACAGCCGGGCAGGGAAGGAGAAACACAAGGACGACAGGTGAACACAATCAGACAATCAGACAATCAGACACACCAGGGAAACTAACGACAGGAAGGAAGACAAGACACAGGGAGAACAGAATTGCAAAACAAAACCATGACAAGACAGACCAAACTAAAACCGTGACATAAAACTAAGATCGTGACACTCAGCGCACCTCCGTTTTCTATTTTTACTGTATCAATGTGCAGAAGGAAGCCTGCATCTGAGGCTCTTGGTCATGACAATGCGAGATATAAACATTAATGGTGTCCTCTTTGACGTAAGCTAAAGCTCAGGAGAGCCTCTAGTCCATGAGTAGACACACGCATCCTTCTGCACAGAGCTAGGGTAGAAAATAAATGTTCCTAAATTACACAACTCAATAAAAGGTCTGTTAATTATCTTGACTAAACACGTAATGATTCGAGATCAAGAAAATCAGAATTTTTTTATATTGTCCTAATGATAAGATAAAACAATGATTTGCTCCATTGACCATGAATTGAATTACGTTGTAACATAATACAAAAAAATTAAAGGTCTGACACTGTTACTTTTTGTTCTGTGAACTCTTTTAAAGCGTCATTATCTAATTTCCATGGAGTTGAGCAGCTCCTTCCTTTTGGCCTTATGCACAAAAGATTTTATCTAGGCTCCTTGGATCCTCCCTACCATCTTCACCTGACGCCCACTGGGGAGAAGAAAAGCTATTATAACCTCACCTCATCTCAACTGTGTCACCTTAACTGGAACCGTTTGAACACTGAACTGTGGATAAATTCACGTTATAACAGTACGGTAGCTCTAGTAAAATGTAATATATTAAATGAGTTATCCAAATGCATGTTGTATGTGGTTACATGATCCAGCTTGTTTCTGCTGGTTTGATTTGTTTGCAAGTGTTGTGGTGAAAGAAACTATTGATTTCAGTTGATTGAAAGATGAATTATCTATGTCATGTGCTTCAGTTGCAAATGCTTTACCTTATTGACACCTGCAGACACACTGTATTGATTTTTTCAGTTAACAAAGTGTGGTTCTTCGATTTGAGTTGACAAATTGATGACTAAATTATGACTAACTTGTAGAGAGGTGTTATCTACCACAAGATATCATGGATCTACCCCGGTAGATAATGTATTGTTTGAATTAAACCTTAAACAGGCCATGAAACTTCCTGAAAAAGAGGTCACTAATATCAAGTTATGTTTTTGTTTAATAATTCATATTTCTTAGCTGGGAGGTTAGGGTAGTTTTCATTGATTGTTGACTACAATCAGGAATCAATTTGCACCATTTGTGCTTTTTAGAGACACAGTTGTTAAAACAAAGGATCTGCAAGACAGTTTTTCCTCTACATCCTCACCTAACAAAGATCAGTGGTCTTCTCTGATAGGCCACCAAACAGCCTCGTGGGGAGGAGTTACAGCCTTTGGGCTCTTTGGTATTTGCTGAAACAATAAAGTACCTGTCGTTTCATCTGAGAAAGGGAGGGAGGGAGAACAAAAAAAAAGAAGTCAAATTTAAGCCAGAACTTCTTCCCTAAAGTCCTTTTGAGAAACAGCATCACACATCTCGCCTCAAGGCAGTGGCTCAGCAGAAAAAAGTCATGGGAATGCCAAAATTAAAAATGCTGAAACTTTTGCTTTTATTGACCTTCACAGAGGTAAGAAATTATACTTTTCTCATTTCACACTCATTTCCTCTTAAATGTTTTAACCATGACTACAAATAACAATTTCAGTGTCATTGGGTCAAATCTTTGAAATAGTGCATATTTTATACATCCAGTTAATAATCGTGTGCAGAGGGAGGATTTTGTATATGAACACAGGGTCTTTTGAGTGTCACTGCTTTCAACAAGTGCATGTGGCATGCCCAACCTTAGCTCAATAGACAAATTCATTCGGACCTGAAAGAAATACCTGCGCCGACGGGTCCTGAAATCTGTGTTGAGTGAAGGTAATGTGCAGCCTGCTGCCTCTCATGCGCCGAGAATATGATACAGGCATTATATCCTGAGGCATTATATCCTGAGGCATAATTTGCCTGTGAGATACCAACAGCTACCCCTTGGAATAATGCTCTTGTTTTGTAGAATAATGTGTTTTCTTTTGATTTGGATCATGTTATTTCCTTGTTTCATTCATTAACCTGCCTTGTTTGATCATTTCAGATCTGTGCTGCACAAAACGGTAAATAGTCCTCTTTTGCATTTTCCTTAACGTTATGATGATTCAAAACTCCCAAAAAATATAAGCACCTTATTTGAAATCTATCACTTAGAATTATTAACCCCTAAAATGTATTAATTTCCAAAAACAAAGGTTAAGTCACCTTTTCTGAATCAACCAAGTATGTGTATTTCATTAGCATCTGGGATTTGTTTTACTCACAATATAAAATAATCACCCACAAGTCTTTTTAAATGTATCCCATCATAGTTTCCTTCTCTATCTCCCTCAGACATCACTCTGTCCGTGTTTACGGTCACATCTAAGAGTATGACAGTGCAGTGGAGCAGCTACACTGGAGCCAGCTCCTACAAGATCACAGCGACACCAAAAAACACACCTGGACAACCCGTCTTCGCTCACTTCAGTGGCAACGTCGTGACGGGCTCCGTCATCTCCCTGTCACCTAACACAATGTACACCATGCAGCTCGAAGCCATGGACAATGCTCTCAATGTCCTGAGCAGCGCAGACACAGAGGATACCACAGGTCAGTACTGCAGGGAGAGGTGAAGTAGGACAATGAGTTTAGATTTAGATCTTTACTATCCATAAAGAAAGCCTTAATTTATTTTACATTTCTAAATTAATGGCAGGAGTCCTGAGTCTTAACTTTCTTAATGCATCATACTTTAAGACCCAAAATCATAATGAATTAAAAGAAAACTAGTTGTTACTTAAATTACCGTACATTGGACATCACCTTTGGAAGCTTTTATGGACATTTCTAGAAGTTTTATTGTCCAAACTATTCATCAACAAGGTAAAAATGGTAAGTTGCAGCTCTAATTTTAAAATATCTTCTTATCTATTGCATATACAGTCTAAACTTGTATCCATATCTTTAAAATAAATACGGCTTAACATTTTTTAAATGTCTTTCTTAAATGTGGTACAGAAGACAATAAACAATAAAGAACTCAGGAATAGTACAAATACTTGTACTTGTACCTCATAGTAGTTAATGTATTTAAATACATTTCACCACTGCGTTTATGATATATGTTTTTATATGTAAGAAAATGTGACTAACAACCATGTTATAATGCTGTGTAAACATGTTTACATCTATCATTTGTCCTGCAGCTCCTGAAGTGCCCAGCATCGAGCAGGCCTACTCTAAAAACAGCGACAGCATCACTGTTGAATTCACAGAGGTTTCCGGGGCAACCAGCTACATCCTGAGGGCGCAGACTGAGAGCGGCGATTACTTCTCTGAGATGGTGGTGGTCAGCTCACCCGGCACCGTGGTGAAGCTCAAGCCTTACACAGACTACAGGCTGAGTGTCATGTCCGTCAACTCAGGGGGGCGGAGCCAGCCCTCGTACCCCATCGAGGCCAGGACAGGTAGGCTACGCACAAAAAGCAAAAAACACTTCAACTAAGAATTTTAAATAGTGACAGAAGATTGAAAACCTGCTAATGTATCACATATTAAGACTTTCACCAAAAGATAGTATCTTTGTGTGAAACTATAACATTTAATAATGATATCTTTCACCTATTTTTACATGTTGTAAGCTTTACCCCTGATGGTAATCGGTGTACGAAGGTTGAAACCTATCTGTTGTTACTGTAGGACAATAGTTTGTTTGCTCACTCCGCCGGTCATAACAGCGTGTCATTTCACTGTCTATTGTCACAGTGTCTGCTCTTTGCAGCCAAAGCAGGAGGGTGGAAACTGTATCCATGCTTTTATAATATACTATTATCATAATAGGAAAATCAAAACCATGAGAACTGGGTTGTCTCCCTTCCCTGAAGGAGTAATGTAACATCATCAAGGGGGTGTTATTTCCATTTCACAACACTAACAAAACAATTGTCAGGGGACTAAAAGGTTTTCGCAATTTTCTTTTATCGAACTTCAAGAAAAGCTTTGCAAAATAAAAACAGTGCACTACTATTATGCATAGCGATGCATTGGTTCATAGAGATAAGCAGTAGGTGGCAGTGTAAATAAAAGATTGCCAATGAAATATAAAAGTTTTACTTGGTTCGAGTATTAATATGCTCTCTTTTCATTACACCAACTTTTTTACTTAAGCCAAACATAACACTTTTTGCATATTTTCAAGATCCTTTAGAATTGAAACGTTTCCACTTGGATTTGTTATGAAAAAATTGAAAATGTGCACGGACAGGTGGATGAAAATGAATTGTGTATTTTTGTCAATGTACATTTTTTCTCATCACTTTCTCCCTCTCCCTGTGTGTAGTGGTAATGGCGCCCCAGCTGAACACCACCTCTCCTAACAACGCTTCCATTGTTGTGACTTGGCCCCCGGTGGAGAATGCTGTCCTCTACATGCTCTGCATCATTCAGGAGGGCTCCAGCTCCCGGGTCAAACTGAACACCACTGACACCACGGTGAACTTTAATGACCTTGCAGCAGGGACCACCTACTGTATCAAGGGCACAGCATGGGACTCAGAGGGTCGAGCTGGAGACGACCTCACTGTCTGCCAGATCACACGTAAGCTTGATAAGAACATACGTAGAGCATGAATGTATCAGATCCTGTTGCTCATGTCCGTCTGGTTTCACCGACAGGTCCTCCCAGCCCAGATGTGACGTTGGTCCAGGTGTCTCCGGGACGGTCGATTGGGATCGCTGTGTACTGGGTGTTAGTGCAGGGAGCTGAAAACTACTTGGTCTGGACTTCTAATGGTCAACACTGTAATTCAACAGCTGATGGTTACTGTTCTATCGTACCAGTGGAGTGTGGCCAGAACCACTCTGTCTCTGTCACAGCCTATAACAAAGCTGGTCCCAGCAGCCCCTCGCAACCAGCAGACTACATAACATGTGGGTATATCACACACAACCACATCAAAAACGTACTTGTCTAGCACATCAATGCTTTTTGCTGAAAAACGACTCATGTCTGTAGTGTCTTTACGAAGCTACAGCCAGCAGCTTAGCCTAAGGGAAACAGCTAGCTTCTGAAACAAAAAGAAAACACATTCTGACTACCAATACCTCTGAAACTCACAGGTTGTCAAAACAAATGATGTACAGTCAGACATACATACATATTATCATGTTGTTTAATAGTTACAAAAATGGAGCAAGCCCGTAGCAGCTGCCAATGTTTAAATCTGACCTGTGACTCGTATATGGCCATTTGTCCTCTCTCTCTTGCCCCACATAAAAAGGCTTCAAAACTCTTGAAAAAGCATTAGTTACAAAAGTGCTTCCCTGTCTCCAGTCTTTATGCTGGGCCGAGCTAATCTACTCTTCATATTTATCGTAAAAAATCATTGCCCTTTGAATCAAACTTTTGTCAAGAGAGAACAATTTCCCAAAATGTCAAACTATTCCTTTACCAATTCATGTCCATTCTCTATCTCTTTCTCTGACAGATCCGTGCCCCCCAGAGAACATCCGGGTGGAGGAGCCCGAAGCAGGCAACTGCTCGGTGGTGTGGGATAGTGTGCCAATGGTGGAGTACTACATGGCTTTCATAAAGAGGGATGACGGCACTGAGATGTCGTGTAACACCACTGAAACCACCTGCCAGTTTTCCTGCATGTGTGGCTACACCTACCTGACCTCAGTCTTCCCCTACAACAAGGCCGGGTCAAGCCCTTTCGCAGACGTCAGCAACTACACCACCAGTACGACCAGAAGCACCCACATGTAGCACCACCACAAATACATGTTTTTTGTTATCAAGTCGGAGGGCCATACTAATGGATTTATATAATTTAGCTCATTAACTTCATATAGTTATTAGTTTCCATTACAACAAAAAATCACCCAAAGAATACGATACACAGAAATGTAACCTGTTGCTACTCAACAGCACCCTTTAAGAAACCCCCAAATCTAGATTATCCATTGTAACACACACCTGATTTGGTTTGGTTTTTTGGATTTTATTTTCTTAGCTCATGAATGCAAGGGTTTTTGGCAGCTGACACTTAAGTCTCAGATAACGGATCTTCACAGAGTCCTCCGGCATGTTCTGAAAATTCTTCCTTTTCCACAGCAAACATTTTAACACGTTATGATGAAAAGAACAGGTGAAAATATTCGAAATATAGCTAGCACCTTGGGGCGAGCTGCTTATCTACTGTAGCCAATCGACTGATGGATAAGTACCTCATAGAACCACGCATGAAACCATTTGAACAATCCCTTTAAGCACACTAGCATGGCTTTGACGTTCCTGATATGACAAGTAAATTGCTATAGAGACTATAAAAGATACATTTGAGAAAAAGCAGTGTGAAGATGATAAACTACCTAGGTTTCACACAGGGAGAAAAACAATGCCTGAATAGAAGGTGAAAAACATTTGTATTATCATCTGCAATCAGGTATATGATACTTTGTAAGTGTTGATTAATGTTCTCATCTCTTTTTGAATTTCTTCTCCCCGTCTCTCCCCAGTTCCTTGTTGCCCACAGGGTGTTACCATACAGCTAGTTTCTACAGAGACCCTGGAGATCAATTGGTTGCCGGTTAAAGGGGCCGAGCTGTACCAGACCATGGCGGCACAGACTAATGATGTCATCCACTGTAACGACACAGCTCCAGTGTGTGCGCTGTCAGATTTGAAGTGCGACACAGCTTATTCTGTGACCGTCACACCTTGCAGCGAGTTACGAGGATGCAACCACACCTGCACACCACACACACAAAAAACAGGTATTAAAGGGGCTATTAGGAGTGACATCCCACATCCTAAAATACACATGCTCACATGAGAGGGAACCCAGGGAAGTCTTTGAAATGGGCTAAATAAACCTCAAATATAAGCTAAGTCATAACACAGTGGTGCTAGTTTGAAATTTGGGGAAGATATACTTTTTGCTTTCTTGTCATAACTATATGAGAAGATTGATTCTACTTTCATTTCTTTCAAGCCACTATTCTTTTTTCTTAAAGGTACATCAGTACAAAAAACGTAAATCGCCCTTTATTAAATGGTGTACCTAAAGTTGAGGAAGATTCAGGTACATCTTATACCCAGAAGAAGTATAATTGATTCCTTAAATGCTGTATCTAGCTCTCCTGATACACCCATAGTGGTATCAATCATCTCATATGACTCTTTGGAATTAAGTGTTATCATATTCCCCAAAATGTCAATGTTTCTTTAAAAAAATATCTCACTCACGCTGCATTATCTCTTCTTTTTTTAATATGAAAACAGCTCCGTGTGCTCCAGAGATCCTGAATATGACTCAGAGCAACAACTCCACATACAGAATCCACATCACAATGCCTAACACCCCAAACACAAATTACACCATTAAAGCCACCGGACGCTTTGCCACACACACCTGCCAGACAACAAACTCGTCCTGTGAGCTCACACAGCTGCCCTGTGGTTCGTCATATGACGTCATTGCAGTGGCCATCACAACTGTGGGGAGAAGTCTTCCTGGATTCAGTAAAACCTTGGAAACAGGTAGGATTTGTTATAATATTGTAGTAGCCTGACCATTTAAAAAATGTTTGATGATTTAAGTTATCATAAAAAAGAAAGAAAACAAATCCACAAAGGCAAAAGATATGAAAACATTTAATTGGCAGCTCAGAATTTAGAGTTAAATTCTGATCCTGCTGGTAATCATAAGCTAGGCTAAAATAGGCTTCTTATAATAATAATAATAATAATAATAATAATAATAATAATAATAATAATAATAAATCAAAAAGGTATTGTTGGCTAGTCGCTAGTTTGTGTAACAGACCTAAAAATAAATGTAATTATATTAAGTTACAGTCACTAATAAATAATGTAACAGTATCTTCACTCAGGTCTTGATTATTGCTATATTATTTACTCCCCAAGGTCCTTGCTGCCCCACATATGTAAATGTGACCCAGGTGACCCAGGCTATGACAAATGTGACCTGGTCACCGGGCAGCAGCGCTCGCTCCTACGTCACCTCCCTGACGTCCCCACGAGGACACGCCAAGTGCCACACTCTGGACACCCACTGCCTGATGGGATGCATCACCTGTGGCACCGACTACAGTGTTCACTTGGAAGCCATCAGCAGCACAGGACATAAGTCAGAGTGCAAATATTATGGATTCTCATCAGGTAAGGGCAAATACACACATGTACACACACACAAGTTTAAAGGGGACCTATCATGCAAAATGCACTTTTTTATGTCTTTTATACATAGATATGTGTCCCCGGTGTGTCAGGGAACTCACAAAGTGTCAGAAAACACAACCCTCTCTCCTTTCCTGCGTACGCAAATCTCTAAAAACAGGGGTACAACGGAGCTGATCCAGATTTGCGTCGTGGACCCACGGCATAGCAGAAAGTTGCTATCAGAAACAATGCCTGACGTGTTTTGGACGTAATATGGTCTTTGTTTACATTAGCAAGCATCGCTAACACTCAGAGTTACCGCTGGAGAGAGCACATGTGTAAAAAAGCAGGAAATAAAAAAAAGAACTCACCTTGTGGTAAACCCGCAAGAGAAAAAGCATTTGAGCTCCATACTGTTTCAGAAATAATCCTTGATGTGGTTTGGAATTCTGAGCAGGCATTAGCTCCGCCTCCTCTTTTTTTTTTTTTTCAAGCTAAGGACCCAAAATCAGCAGTTCTCAAACAGGGCTTAAATAGAGGGATACGAGGGATGTCTAAAATGCATGATCTGTTTGGTATTTTGAGCAAAACACATCATAGACATGTTTTTATATATTTTGTATACATCCGAGACCCATAATATATGCCTAGAAATAGCATAATAGGAGACCTTTAAATACTTTTTGGTAGCAATGTAGTCAACGGTACAAAACCAGTATGTGTTTGATATGAACAACTTCATTCCTCATAACTCAATCGTGCAGGTGCCTGTTGTCCGACAAGTATGAAGCTCTATCGCATGCGAAGCTACTCCCTGCGGGTGTCCTGGCGCTCTCTGGGCCCTCAGACTCACAACCACACAGTAGACCTTTACGGGACGGGAGCCAACTACACCTGCACCGCGGCTGCCGGCAGCAAACACTGCGATATCGAGGAGAGAACGTGTGGGGACGTCTACAAAGTAGTGGCGGCACCAGTGGGACAGGACGGGATCAAAGTCAGCTTCTGTCAACCGAGGACATACTCCAGTGAGTCATGAAGTGCATGCAGCATGTACAAGATGTATAAATCACCTATTTATTCGTATCATTTGTTACAAGTTTCATTAATGCGTTAATGTTTATTATATTCTCAGTTCCCTGCCCAGGAAATAATGCTGGCATGCGTAAGTATCCTATATACTTCACTTTTAGTTTGCAGAAGTGAAAGGAATAGATTACCATTCTGTTATCTGCATCTTGATAAGATATGCGAGTTGCATTGACATTATGATCTAGAAAGGGGGGGGGAAGGATGGGAATATTCTCATTCATCGAAATGTCAATCTATTAATTTCACCTTTGATTAATTTGTCTGAAAACTGCTAATTCACTTAAACTGTATCTCTCTCCTTCTAAAGTGATTTCTCGCGGAAAACGAAGTGTGGATTAATTGCGGTAAGTGTACGGTTACTGATCTCCCTCCGGGTAAGAACAATGTCTTCAGACGTTTGGAGTTATGTATCGACATGAGACAAACAACTTCCTCTACATGTGAAGTGTTTTTCTAGATTGTGAAAATGTGTGAAAGAATTTGATGAAAGCTGCTTTCACAGAACGCATCCATGGTGCTACTTTACAGTTTCAGGGTATCCAGTGACAGCATCTCGAGCATCTTTAAATTGACTGTGCCTATAGTGTGCTGGTATAACATTAGGCGTGTTTAAGTAGAAGATATAGCATATATACAAGCACAGGTGAGACTGATCTCTATCCGTCTTTTCCTTCTGGGACTTTTGGGATGTATGCGAGTCCATAAAACATGGGATGAATGACCAAGGTAAATGAAGACGGAGAAATGCTGCAGGAGCGTCACACGAGCATCATATTGTGATGATAGATAAGATGAGGGATATTTGATAACCTCTGACTCAGTATGACTAAGCTGTATTCTACTTTTAGCATTTAACGTTTCATAAAGAATGGTTTTTTTTGCACAAAACATCCACTTATCGAGTGTGATGAATAAGTACGGAAGCTATGATGAAATATTAGCAGTTAGGCCTCGACGATGGAGTATATTAAATATTTCAATATTTTTGTATCAAAAACCTTGATTTTGATATTACAAAGATATTGTAAGGTTGACTTTGGGTGCTTTCATTAAATATGTAAGCTATAGAAAAAACAAATAATAAATATTAGAAATGACAGTAATTTACTGAAATGCAGCCTTTAAAACCAGGAAAAGACAACACATATTACACTTTAATGATATCCAAAATATCTAGGATATCTAGTTCTTTATCTAGATCTATATAATATTGATTTATTGCAATTACCTTTTCCACCAAGTCCAGGTTGATCAGTTCTCTCTCTCTTATCTTTCTAGCCCTTCGGTGAACACCCCCCGCCCCATTACCGTCAATACTCAGCACAGACAGAAGACTGTTTACACCAACAACAACTGTTGAGACCCAATCCACCCCGATGGAATTTCACTCTTGTAAAAGAATATCCTGATTTTTTGTTACTGCTGTTTGGAAAAAATGCCTTATAGAGAACGTTAAACTGTTGAAAACAATAAAATATATGAAAGATGGGTTTAAAATAGATAACTTTGGAAGTGTATCCAATGATTCTGAAAAATATTCTCCATATTGTTACTTTTTAATAATAGCCATGATTTTTATTTTCATGTTTTAATCAATGCAGTTGCCCTGTCATAATGAATCTTGATGTAACCTTAACAGTAAATGTTAAAAAAGCTATTTTAATAGAAGCTTAACAGTGAACCTCCCACGAAAATGTAACACGACAAAGGTCATTCAAACACTAAATGAATTTGGAACAAAAACCTAGGACTTCTCCAAGTAGAGGGCCTCCACACGGCGCCGTACGACATGTCTGTGGGCTTTGGAGCAGGAGAGGGCCAGTTGAAAGTGGGGCAGCAGGTATCCATCTCGATAGCCCGGAGTCATGCATGCCATGTGGAAGATACGTCTGATCCGATTGCTGGAGATGGATTCAGTGTTACTTCTGTTATCATTGGATTTGTTTTCTCTCCGTTGACAGACGAAAATAATAAAGTTTTACTATTACAACACTGTGTGCTGTCAATCATCTTGTGTCCGTTTTCTTTATGAAGTAAAATATGTTTTGTTCAGGTGCGAGGGGGTTGGATACAGGAGCTATATTCAGTCCCTTAAGATAATCAAGAAACTTCCTGAAGGAGATCTTAATCATTCAGGGGAAATGTTATGGAAGACCAGATGGACTCACTTTCACTGGAAAGTGTGACTGAACCGTCTCTGATTGAACTTATTGCACAAGCATTGCAAGGTTGGATGATGACGATGATGACAACTCTATAAGTAAAAGACTAAATGTCAATAGGCTGCTTATTATTGACTTCTTTAAAACACCAATGAATGATTTGTTTGCATAAATCACGTTAACTCTCAGGCTTTGAAGTTGAGTTGCACATATTCAAATAAACATTGACTCAATATGTCTGGCATTTCTTTCATAACAGATCTGCTTTTATGAGGCCTACTCATAGAGGGTAGAGTATAATTTATACCTTTTGGGGTAAAAACGGCATCAAATTTTTATTATTTCTTGTGCAGAAAAGTTATGTTTGCCATTTAACCAATGTAAAATGGTTTCTTGTGAGTTATTTAACCATTAAATTGATAGAAAGAAAAATCAGTGTACTACAATTCTTTTATCACTGTTGTCAAATAAAACATGTATACGCATAAGCATATACATTACCCAGACAGTATGGACAAATAACTGTGGGGAAATTGACAGATGGTTAGTTTATTCTAAACATTGTTAAAATCATATTTAACATATCACTATTTTACAATTCATAATCAATAAAAAAACTACTGATATCCTATTGCAGCAGCAGATTTAACCTTTGTCATATGAAATGTGTAAAACTCACATTTTTGAATATTTCCGTGACTTGTCTAGTAACGATGAATGTCTATTTATGTCTTGATCAAAGCGGGGGACTTCATAATAAACCAAATGTCCGTGCCATTATCACGAAAAAAGAGAAAACCATCTGAGGTCTGTTATGTGTTTTGTCCTCTTTAGTTCAACAGTTAAAGAATAAAACTGTGCCTTAAATGTTCAGTGTGTATCAGGTCTCTCTTTCCACTGTTGATCTGCTGTAAAAGTTTGCTTCATACTGTAACTTTTAACAGATAGATCATTACGGCATTTAGGATTATAGATCAGGCAATGGTTTACTGCTTTCCAGTCTTTATCAAGCCAATGTGAAATTACTGATCTTACTCAGCTGTGTTTTGGCACTGCTTTTATTGCTGACCATAATCTTGTTGTTGTGGTCTTGATTTTATTCTAGGGAAGTTTTTCCAGTAGGGATAATTTATACACTTCACAATATCCAGAACTGTATAGCTTTATTTATTTATGTTTGCTTCCAATAAACTACCAACCCAAACAAACAGGAATGCAAGAAATCCCAGCAGTGGACAATTACTTGGCTCTATTCACAAAACGTGCAGGTGTCCAAGAAAGTGTATTTCCCGTAAGGTGCAGACACCGAGGTGGATACATTTCTCTGTGACCATGTTCATGTTCACAATCGGATGTAATGCGCTGAATATAAGAGCTCAGACAGCATTCTTCAACAAGCTATCAAAATGATGTACGTAAAACAATAAGTAGAATAGAATGAGCTTAAAATTGGGATTCTATACATATTATGAACAGGATATCCCTGTATCCACATAATTGAAGCTGCTAATAAAGGTATGAGTCAATAATGGTTTGTAGTTTCACTACACTTTGTAAGAAAAATTATCTTTGTAAAAAATATTTAATTAATTCCTCATTTAAAGCAATCAATCTCTATTCATTTATACATATTTATTGAAAAGTAAAACGTCAGAAATTAAATTAAGATAATTTACATTATCCCAAGCTGAGTATTTGAGTCAGACATCATTCACATATTTTATATCAGAGGAGAGAGAGAACCAGCAAAATCCAAATGCAAATGATGGACAAAATAAAATGAAATAGCTTCTATGGTTTGTATTTATTTTTGTCTTAATGTACGCTAATACTAATAAAATACACTTGAATTCCAGCTCTTTTGAATTGAGCAAATTGTGCTATTAATCCTGTTTTACAGCAAAGACTGTCAATCAGGATTATGGGGAAGTTAAGAATCATCTAGAAAGACAAAAGGCGTTCTTATTGTCATGTAACACTCATGGCTTTATCTTTAGGTAACAGCCTAAGGATGTGTCTCTTTGCAACAATACAATGCAGTATAAAATGAATTATAAAATGTTGTTTTACGAACATACTGTATATTTGAAACAAAGTCATTTCACAGTGATGATGAACTGTGTGTCTGGTTCCACTATTCATGGAGTGAGAAATATAAGTGTTATATTACAAGTAGACGAGAAGTGAGGTTTTCACATAATTCCACACAATGGGTGAAACTGGAGCTCCATTTGTGATCCGTCTAAAGATTATGACATGATATGAAACGTGCTGAAGGTTTCACTAACATGTGTCCCAGAAATCGATCTTATGTTAAGACTTTATAATCCTTATTGGAATCTTTGAATCTCAACGAAACAAACCTAGTTATGTACCAATGTTTCATTTTGAATTCATTCCAAAAACAATAAACCAAGATATTAACACAATAATAACTACATATTTGTTAACTTGGCAACCAGTCCAAAAAAGTAGGTTCTTATTAAAAAATGGACAACATTAAACATTTCCGAGAAGAATTACATAAATCCCGGATTTAGAAGGGGAGACTATGACTCCTATGTCATACAAAGGGGGTCGTATTACTCTCTGTTCTTTATACTAAAAACAATTAGTTTGGATATTTAGAGAAAAAAAATCACTTGTCATGTTTGGTGCTTATTTTCACCTTCTAAGCGATGTTGGTCAGACAAAGTCTCCAGAGTTACCAAAATAAGATATTCCAGGAAGTGTAGGTTGAGCGTAATAGGGGGTGGGGGGTTTCAAAGAATCTTAATCAACAGTACACCGAACATTGTTTCCTTCTCATGATGATAGGGGGCCTAAAGCCATTCACCTGTCCTCATTTAGGCTGTCCTGATTGGTTCCCATAAAGTTGATCTCCGACTCTCAGCCGTTAAATATTGCAGATGAGCTGCAGTGTAAAGAACCCACATATGGATGTACAGTAACGCACTGAAACTCTGACAATCACAATGGATATGATGTGGATGTTTTATTCAGTCATCCTTTTGTCTGTCATACAGGTAATTATGCTTTTCATTGCATATAAATACGTTTCTGTTTTGCTTTAATTTCATCCTTGTTTTTTCATATTTTAATGTCCAATGTTTTTATTTTCCTTAGACACAACATGTTTTGGCTACAGGTGAGTGTTCTGTTTTGCTGATAGTATTGATGTGAGCAGAGGCCCTGACAGATTTAAAAAATGTGTTCATCACCGAGATGGCACGATAGTTCGAGATATTGATAAGAATGTTCCTATTCAATAGCTTTATCATTTAAATATCAACACAGTGAATCTTCATATAGTCATCTATTCTTCTGTTATATTGAATAAGGTATAACTTATTCTAACTGGAGCTTTGATCAAAACCATCTTAGAAATTAATCAAACATATTTAATTCACCCAAATCCTCATTTCATTCATTTTTATTTGTTCCGTGCATGGTATGCACAACTTAATGTACAACAATTACTTACAAAACATGTCTCTATAAACACACCATACCCGAAAAGGAGCAGGGAGAAGAAAATAATCTTATATTACCTGCTCCTTTCGCAAAATATATATAATAAATATATATAAACCCTATTGTAAAAAATGTAAGATATTAACTAAACTGATCAATTAAAGACAATATAATGTGATTAAGTGTTTCACGTCCAACATACAAACACTGCTGCTAACTGAAAAGCTTGAGGTGGATTGTATGGACAAAGGATTTGATTAATTGAAAATAAAATCAGCTGCTGCTCACCACTAGAGGGCCACTGCTTTATATGTAAAAGACATCCCGTTTGCCACTCACTCCTACCGTAAATGTGTTCATTAGTGCCACATCTTCTTAAACATGTTTCTTAAGGGTAAGGGTATGGAAAAAGATCTGTGCCTGAATTCTGAGCAAACAGTGGGACGTTTTTAGCACAGAAAATATTGATCGCAACCAAATATATTATATAGGTTATTCACAAAATTATATAATTAACTCACAATAGTCCATGGTTTGATATTCCTGCAAATACAAAAAACAACACTATAGTTAAATAAAGTAAAATTCACAGATTCAATTAACTTTATTTTACCCTTTCATCTCAAAAGGCAATGAAAATGATATTCCTAGACAGATATTATTCCTTTTCTTTCTTTGTTCAGGATGTAGTATAGAGTCAGTGACTTCTCCTTCAGCTTCAACACTGAATGTGATATGGAGCAGCTACAGTGGAGCTACGGTATATTGTCTGGACCTGAGGGTTGTGAACTCCACCAGCATCGCCCCAGTGGTGGTGATGCAGTATGCACCCAGCACAAAGAGGCTGATTCAGGGTTTGAAACCCGGACATGACTATAATGTCACACTGAAGGTCTTCCAATACACCCATGTGGTGTGCACACACTTTGAAATCACTAAGACAGGTAAAGAAAACACTTAAAAAAGTTACCATATAAATGAAACTGAAAAGCAACTTTGTTAAATAATATCTATGTCTTTATCTTTCATTCCCACAGTGCCTGCCACTTCTCAGATCACCTTTTCACAAGCTATTTCCAGTACATCTATAAAGTTCCAGTGGTCTAGCATGATTGGGGCAGACAGCTACATCTTGTTTGTGACAGAGTTGTTTATTAATCCCCCAAAACAATACAACGAGACCTTCACAGGCCTTGTTGGACACATGGACAGCCTAACTCCTTCTACAACGTACAACTGTTACGTCTACTCATTAAACAGCGCCGGAAGAGGGGCCAAAGGTCATACTAGGACAATCGCAACGTGTAAGTGCAAATGAAATGCTAGTTTTGTTGTTTTTCAGAGGGTTTCATTTTTGTAATACGGATCAGAATCAAGGTTCCTTAAAAAAATAAGTCTAAACAGCGTGCTATGTTTGAGCAAATCCTTTACAGTTGGGATGTATAAAAACATGACTGAGGATAAAAAAATGCATAAGATTAAACTTGTATTTTCTCCTGGTAGTGGTACAGCCACCAACAGGAGTGTCCATAAATACGACGGGGAAGAGCACAGCTCGAGTGACGTGGAACACTGTTAGTAAAGTCTTGCTTTATCAAGTGGCCGTGAGTGACAACGACAAGCCCAACGATCAGCCGGTCATCAGAAACACCACAACAACCACAACAACCACCATGGACATCAGTGATCTGGAGCCCTGTTCCAGATACACAGTGGGAGTATCATCACTCAACAGCTTCTTGGTTCCTGGGGAGCCCTCTGCTGTTACATACAACACCTCTAGTGAGTATCTTAGCAGCAGAATGGATGCACTTGCCCTTTTTGTTTTGTGTTGACCGACTACAACCTTACTTAAGTATAAAGGGGTAATTCCCAACTTCCTCTGATGTTATTCAATCCCATTCATCTCAACTCAAGTTAGTATTAAATGCAGACAAATCCAAACTCAGGATATTCTCAAATGGCAAAAAGTTAACTTCTATTCTCCCTAAGAGTTGTACTGTTCAAGGAACTGACATCGAAAGAGTCACACATATCTAGGTTTTATTATTGATCAGAACGTATCTTTCAAGTCACACACTGAATGTTGTTTCAAAGCTAAAGATAAAATAAAGTTTATTTTACAGAAACAAATCCTCTTTCTCCTTTCAGACAAGGAAACATTTGATCATTTGATTTACCGGTTTTGGATAATGGTGATCTGCTTTATATGAATGCCTCTGACTAGTGCCTAAAGAGTTTGGATACTGTGTACCATTGTGCATTACGTTTTGTTACTGGATATGGATATCGTGTACAGTGTACACCACTGCACTTTGTATGCTGCTGCTAATTGGCCATCTTTGTCTGCACGCAGACTTTCCCATTGGTCGGGTTATATATATAAATCTCTGTTGGGCTGGTTCTCTCCAGTCTATATGCCCTCCCAAGAATTTATTCAGATGCTGGTTCCTAAATTGAGAACAGAACTGGGTAAAAAAAGCTTTTAAATATGCTGTCCCTTATGCATGGAATAATATACAGAAGGAGCTGAAACTGTCAGATTGTATCACTATGGGGGAATTCAAGTCCATCTTAAAAGGACAGAGAACAAGAATCTATTGGTCGATGTGATTGCTCGTATATCCTATAATTGAAGTCGTTTTAAATTGTGCCAGTTTTTACTGATTTGTAATAGTTTCTTTTATTTGCATATTGACTGGTTAATGTGCCATTTAATTTGTGTTTTACGACCACTGTATTCGTCTGCCTGTATTGTCTGTGTTTTATCTGTTGTAACTGTGTTCATGCTGCCCTTCTTGGCCAGGTCGCTCTTGAAAAAGAGATTTTAATCTCAATGAGTCTTTACCTGGTTAAATAAAGGATATAATATAATTCTTCCCTTTCCAAAATCTGAGCTTGTCCATTAATGGACAAATCTGAAATGTACCAGATTATAAGTATTTTCTCTACGTCTATGTTATATGGACTATACAAGAACAAATAATAAGTGTGTTGACAAAAAATTAACCTTGTAACCTTAATTAACCCAGTTCGACCTCTTATGAAGGAACACAAAACAAGATATACGTTTTTGGTCTAGTGAATCTTAACACCAGCATTAAATTTCACGCAGGCAGAATCGTTCCTATAAAACAATGTTCTGAAACATATTCTGAAAATCTGTTCACACATTTTTCCTCAGCTATTAACCCGGTGACGACAGTCTCAGCTGAGTACAGCTGCACGAGCGGCTTGGTGACAGTAACTTGGGATTTGGTATTCGGGGCCAACTTGTACAGGGTAACGGCCACTGATGGCACTGGTGCGGCCCTTAACTGCACATCGGCCTCCACAAGCTGCCACATCACCATGCTCAAATGTGGTGAGGAGTACCAGGTCCATGTAACAGCCATCTCAGACGACTGTGAGAGCATCTCCAACGTCCATTCCCTGTTCGAGACAGGTAGGCCTGCTCTTGTGTAAACTACAAAAGATGGCTTATATTTGTCTGTACTTTCCTTGTGAATGTATGTACAGTATTGTCCCCCCCCCTTTCATTGTGCCTCATAACATGTCTGTATATGTTTCCTACATATCCACACCTTCTCATTCTACCTCTCAGTGTCACACACACTCACAGTTCAGGACACATTCAAAGCTCTTTATCACAACATTTCCCCATAACTTCATCCTCTAGGGAAGCTGATTAGGTTCCTCCCATTGTCTCCTTTAGGATTTTCTGAAGCTGAGGGGTGAAACACACACTCTCTTTTGCCACCAAGACCAGCTATCCAACACCAGTCGGTCAAGTGTCTTTAGAGTCTATTAAGTCAAGGACTTATCTCAAAGGTCAGCTCTCACGTCAGTCTGAGTGAAAAGGTAAAGGAGACAAACCATATACGGTCCGCCTAGGGAAATATCTACACGCACACACAGCTAAATTGCCTGTTTACTCCAATGATGTGTTGAATGCTGCAAAGAGGGAAATTACAATAGGAGTAAAACATCTGTATCTATTTGACGACCTTTGAACAATAGGAGGTGAATTGTGGCCTGTGAATCTGCTGTGAATACTTCATTTTTAAAACAATACAGTGCGTCACAAAATAGTGATCAATATAAACTCCACTCAATTCTGCACAACTGGACTTCTTTTATGACATCCAGGCAGATTTTGAACATTTTTAAACCGTTTTATTCCCTGTTCTTATAACTGTTCTTTGTCAAAATGTTTTCCCAGTCTCCTGTGCTCCTGCTAATCCCGAGACAAGTCACGATTGTTCGAGCAATGTGATCATCTTTAGCTGGCAGCCCACCAACAACACCCGCTACTATGTGGCAACGGCTGTGGACAAAAGTGGCCAAATAACTGAGTGCAGGACGGCAGACAGCAAGTGTTTATTCACTAACACTGGCTGTGGTCAGTTTTACAAGTACACTGTTTATGCCGTCAGCGATGTATGCAACAGCGAAGCCAGCAATCCTGAGTTTGTCCGGACCTGTGAGTATGATTTCATTTTGTTAATATAAATATATCATGAATCCAAAATACATACTACAGCACAACTTGTTCTCAATGCTCGTCTGATTTTAGGACTGAACTGTTTTTATATAAACGCATATAATTGTGTATTTTGACACACATTGCAATTGTGATTTGATTCTTACGGAAGAGGATTAGGGCCACATGATAATTCTTTTTGGAGTTCAGAGATTAAAGTCAGAATTCTGAGAAAAAAGTCAGAAGCATGGTAATTGTAGTGAACCAACTTCAGTGAGAGACTCACTTCACATTATGCAGTAGTGAAACCGTGTGGCTGTTAGCTTCCTGTCCTCTCTGTTAGTAGCTCTGTGCTACAGGCTGCTCAACCGAATTAGCTTATTGGGTGGACATAACTTGACCATGGCCGTATTTGCTGTCTTTTGGATATTTAATGCAAATATCAGACTTGTTTCATTGCTTGCTCTGCGGACAGTCCATGCATGTGGTTTCTTCGATAAGTAAATTCTAGTACTCTATTTATATTTTACTGGTGTTTTATTCAAATAGATTTGGCATTTATGTATTTAAGCGAGGATTCTTTAACATATAGTGAGAATTGCTAACATTTGTCTCTACATATTGTGTGATTATTGCAGTGACACAACGAAACTGTCAGGGTTGAGTGAAGCAGGCAGGACACAAACGCAGATTTAAACAGAAAATACCTTTATTTCAAGGCTAACGAAACAACAGAACTCTTCCCAGTGAACACAGTCAAGACAAACAACAATCCAACAATGACAGACAGAAAAAACAGAACTTAAATGCACACAAGACTAATCACACAAACAAGACACAGGTGAGGAGGCACAAGGTGAACACAATCAGGAAATCAGACACAGGAGGGCAAACACAGAGGCCGTTTCTCAATCTCGAGGAAACTGGCTTCCAAGCCAATATTTCAAGGATGCTACGTCATCGAGTGCCGCCGAAGGACTGTTCCAATCTCCAGCATACTTGGAATTCCACCGAGGCCGCGTCCTTGGTTTGGGGGTAATTTCGAGGCTGCACATGGGTAGACTTCGCGTCCTTAAAATCCCCACAATGCTTTGCGCACGGACCAATTTCCCCAAATCTGTGGCGGAAAATGTAAGGCGGGGCCTCTCATATGAGGCACACCTGCACACTTGCTAGCCTGTTCCACTCTTCGTTTTCTGAATGCCAGGAAGGATTCTTGCCTAGCTTCTGAAGCAAGTGACTCGGAAGACATGTGCTACCAAGCAAGCATCCTCGCGATTGAGAAACGGCCAGAGACAAGAATCAACAGACAAGACAGGGGGTGAACACTTTTCAAAATAAAACAGGAAACCAGAGACAGACAAAACACAACACAGACAGACCGTGACACAAACAGCATGATTCTACATTACGTTTTGATAACAGTTAAATATTATTTTAATAAAAACTGATATTTTAATGTTGATGAATTGTTCATTGATAATCTGATAGGAGTACACAGCTGAATAAAAAAAAAACACTTGTCATTCCAGTTAGGTAAGGACATGCCTGAAAGACACCGCTGTATCACCATTTTCTCCTTCTCTGATGAAAAAGAACATCCACAAGGAAAATAAAAAGCTGATGTTATGAGATTCAAGACCAATAGAGGAAATTCACTGAGAAACCACACTTTTATTGTGAAAACAAAGATCTGCACACTGAATAGTTTTGTAGTAACATGCTTCCATGTTGATAGAACCATCATTTGTTTGTGACGTTGCACCTCAGAACAGGTATGGTTATTGTCAGGCCTTGTGGCAAAAGAAACACAGTCAGCTGAACGAAGGCACCTTTTTCATTGCTATTTCAACATGTACAATCGATGAGATGATTATTTCTATTTGCCTCATTTTATAAGCATCACAATGCTTGTGCCTTGTACCGCAGAATGTGTCACGTCACACACAGATGGTGCTAATCTGCAGTCAGATTTGAATGTTTTATCTAACATTTTCAGATGCTGAATATGAGAGGGGGAACATAAATGTAACACATGCTTTAGATAATAAATAAAGAAAATGTGACTGTTAAGAGTGGTTCCGTTTTTTAGGTTGACTTTACTATTACTGTATTACTAAAATCTCACGTCTGAAGATTTCATTTAAAAGAAGGAGAGGACCCTTAAAATAAAGATTGGTCTTTCAGTACATTATGTTGATTTTGTCCTTTGAATTGTTTGGCTAAACTTAAGTAGCTAGAATGGGTAATTATTACATTTGTAATGTATACAGTCTGGTTATAATTTAATGTTTTAGATTTTGATATAAACTCGTAATTTACTAGATTAAATTATCAACATTGTCGATCAAACTAAACATATTATTTACAGGATTAGATCTGGGAATTAAATTACCTTAGCGAATAAGCTAACACACTTGCTGCTAGCTAAACATTATCTCCATTTCATATTCTAACGCCTTTTCGCTGTTTTTACGAACGCCAAAACAACACATTTATATTTATAACTCACCTTTTGTTCTCCCATTTGGAATATGGTTTCCTCCGGGACCCTTCTGTCGCGCAAAAAGTCCGTTACCTCCTCTAATGTTCCCTACTGCATTATGAGAGTATCCCAAAATCCTCTTCCGTAGAATCTTGATATTGGAGGGAATTACATTACAAGTGTTCTGCCTTTAAAAACAGTGTTCTGCCTCTAAAAATATTGCCCCTGGATTTGCACCATATTTAAGTGAGTCTTTTTATTTCTCCTTTCCTGCAGCTCCTTGTCTCCCAACAAACGTTAGGACAGGAGATGGTTGTCACTCTGAAATGTTGATCACAACCTGGGACTCTGCAGCAGGAGCTCTCTCTTACACTGTAGAAGCACAGGGGAACACTGAAGAAACCTACAACTGCACCTCCTCCACCAACAGCTGTGCGATAATGGGAGTTCCATGTGGTGAACATCTCAGTGTGTGGATCGTTGCCTCCAATGACAACTGCTCCACTGAAAGGGTACTGGGAGACATTGCTCAGACTGGTAGGTACTGGGAGCTCTGTGAGACACTTACTTACATGTGATTTGATTTTTGCTTGTTATTGTCTTAACACAAACTTCTCTTTTCTTTAGTTCCCTGCAAGCCAATTAATGTGTCAGTATCAGTTGACTGCAGCCAAGACTCTGCTAGAGTTAACTGGATGACGAACATTGGTGTTATATTCTACGTTGCCGTCGCTGAGGATGACAATGGGAATGTGCACAGTTGCAATTCAATGGGCACCAACTGCTTGATCGAAGACCTGAGATGCGGACAGAATTACACTGCCAGCGTTATCGGCACCAATATAAAGTGCAACAGCAGCTCCAGTAACCAAGTTAGCTTTATGACAGGTAGGTCAGAGGGTTGGAAAACATACTAATTCGATTTAAAATGTTGATTCGTGATTATATTTTGAGGAAGAAAAAAAATTTGCGACAACATTTTTACGAACTGGAAACTCTGGTTATCCTTCACGTTTTTACTAACATCTACCTCCTTTTAAAATGCTCCAAAGCTGGATGCACTGTGCATCTAATCAACTAAATCCTCTGCCTCTCCATCAGCTCCTTGTCCTCCAACAAATATTGAGGCGTTCAGAGACTGTGATGCCAACCATGCTCTGATAGTGTGGCAGAACCATAAGCCCACAGGCCTCTACACAGCAACCATAGTGGATAAGAGCGGGGATCAGCTCAACTGCACCAGCAACACGGTCAACGACTGTAAAATCCGCTCTCTGCCCTGTGGAAAGACATACAACGTCACCGTCACCTACGATAATGGAAACTGTCAGTCCACCTCGACACAAATCACCATGGACTCAGGTAGTAAATTAAGAGGGTTCAACCGTTTCTGTTTCCATTGCAAATTACTTATGTCACTTCTCCCCTCTTGTTTAAGTGCCATGTGGTCCTGAGGATGTGATGGCCAGTGTGGCCTGTGTTACCGGCGAGCTGACGGTCACCTGGAACATCTCAGTTCCTACAGAGAACTACACCACCATCATCTCCAGAGGAATGGGTCAGCCTCTGTACTGTAACTCTACAGAGACCCAGTGCATCACAGAAGGGTTGATGTGTGGAAGCATCTACTCTGTGATCGCCTTCTCTGTCACCGGGACATGCTTCAGTCTGCCCAGCGCAGAGGTCACAGTGCATACATGTGAGAAACGCAGATTTATCACATTTAATGAGGTAGAAAGAATTCTGTCTCAAACTACTCCTCCATCTCTATTTTCCTTCAGTGCCGTGTCCTCCCACAAACGTCACAGCCATGCACACATGTGCTTCGGATCCTGTTCCTGTGTCATGGGTGGCCAGTGACAGCGCCAAATACTACACTGCTGTCGCTGTGAGCGGCGGGGGTCACAGGTCACAGTGCATGACCAACAACACTTCCTGCAGCCTCCCTGGACTCCTGTGTGGGGAGGTTTACACTATTGGTGTGTCAGGAGTTGATGACAACTGCACAGGTCAACTGAGTGACACTGTCTCTTTAAACACAGGTAACACAACCCTGACCACCAGCAAATCTTGAATGAGAGTGTTTATTTTCCTATTAAATAGTGCTTTTGTTGTTATTTATAAGATTTATCCAGGTTTGTTTTGTTTCCCTCTCCAGAGCCATGTTCTCCCTCTAATGTATCCAGTCAGCGGATGTGTAGCGCTGCCACTGCGCAGGTATCCTGGCCACCTAGTGCCAACGCAGTGAGCTATACCCTGGAAGCCATCAGCAGCGGACAGAACCTCACCTGCAGCAGCTCCAGCCCAAACTGCACTCTGAGTAACCTGGTCTGTGGACAGGCCTACGACATCCTTGTGACTGCCACTGATGGCACATGCGTTAGCAACTACAGTGCCCCCTTCAGACAAAACCCAGGTACAGAGAGAGACGTCTGGCCACGTTTAATTGACTCCCCTAGATTCTACCGGGTCCGTCTGCGCCGTGTTACGGCCAGTCCACACAGCGGTGTGCGTTTAATCTTGGCGGTGGGCGTGTCTGAAGCTTGGGGAGTTCTCGCGAGCAACGCGACCAACAAACAATCACATGAATCTCCCGCCCCCGACATACAGTTTATGAAGTAAACTGGATATCAACTCCCCAAACAGGTGAAAACCTACCAGTTTCACCCACTATCTCTGCCACCTCCCTCCATGCCTGGCTCCTCCGGTTTGTATCCCGGTAGGTGAACAGGGACTGATCGTACAAGACCGGGTGATTCCCTACCGCTATGATTAATTTCTCCTCCATTTTTTGGAATATGAGGAAATGACCTGCGGTGTGTCTCTCCCAGCATACACGCGGTTTGATTGGCTAGCGCTTGTACTGGCAGATTTGCATAAACGGGATTTAATTGGCTGATGCTTCAGAAGCTTCAAAAGTTGAAAATGTCTCAACTTTTGCAGCGAGCCACGCTAGCAAAGCTCTGCTTCGCTTCCCACAATGCAGTTCGGCGAAAAGTGACGTCACCCCATTCAAGTGAATGGTGAAGCTTTCAACGTACGCCGCTGTGTGGACGGGCCGTTACGGCTGCGCCGCAGCGTTCACCACGATCACGGCCACTCTAGTCAATGGGTGCTATTCCACCAGACGCGCTGCGTTACGACTAGAAGCGTCCCAGAAGCGTCTCGGCGCTGGGCTCCGCTAAAAATAGGCGGCTGGTCTATTTTCAACGCGACGCGAGGCGTTGCATAGCGCCGGGTAGGAAGTGGAACGGTCAGAGCATCCAGTCGATCCCCAAAATAAACACAATTTGCTAGTCCTTCAAGTAGGAGAATAAATGCCAGCGTTCTCCTCCGGTTTACTCACTGTGTGTAAATTATATATCTAGAATAATTATGATGATGAATGCATTTTTTTACCACTAAACTACAGCAACACATCTTTGATTCATGTCGTTTATAACTGGACTATTACAATTATTATTAACTTTGTCTGTGCAAAGTAGCCTGTCCAGGAAATATGCCCAACTCAACAAAAACTGCGAGCCGGTACGCAAGACGCTCCGCTTCTGCAACGCACCCGGTTGGGTATGACGCTGGAGGAGGTCGGACCAAAACCGCGGCGCAGACGGACCCGATGGATTCCCGGAATCCTTCAGGAACAAGTTTTAGCTGCTAAATCACTTTTTGGAGTTATTAAAACACTGTTCTGTCTCTGTTAGTACCATGCCCTCCAGAGGACTTCAGTACGAGCCTGATCTGTGGCACGAATGATGCAACGGTCAGCTGGAACATTTCTTCGGCTGTGCCCCTCAACTACAGTGTCGCTGCTGTGCCTCTGGCTGAAAATATCAGTTCAGTCTTATGCCAAACTAGCAGTGGCAGCTGTAGGCTGATCGGTCTTCAGTGTGGAGAGACTTATAATGTGTCTGTCAAAGCTTCCTCTGGCAGCTGCAGTGGACAATTTAGCCCCCCACAGACTGTTGAGACAGGTAATAAAGATGTTGATGATATAAGGATGATCATTTCCACTAAATGTGTTTTGTTACATTCATTTACTTCAAGCACTGTGATCTTCCTACAGCACCCTGCCCACCTCAGAGTTTAACAGCAGTGACAGACTGTGGCACAAACTCTGTCCTGGCGTCCTGGAATGCCTCTGTTGGTGCCACCTCCTACGCAGCGACAGTGATGGGCCCCAACGGCTTCTCTGAAACCTGCTCCTCTTCAAACCTCACATGCTCTGTCTCCGGCCTGCAGTGTGCCAGCCAGTACAACGTTACAGTGAAATCCCAGGGGAACTGCAGCAGCTCTCCCAGTCAAACTGTTGTGATAACAGGTTGAGTTTTTTTTTTTAACATTTTATGTAAGACGTTTTGTGACTTTACATTATGTATTTCATTCCCCCTCTCTATCTTGTCTTCCAGAACCATGTGACCCTATCAATGTGACCAGTGTCCTCCAGTGCGGTTCGGATGCAGCCACGGTGTCCTGGGAAGCTGCTGCCGGGGCCGTGGCCTACACTGTACTCGCTCGAGAGGACAGCTCTCCGCATTATACTTCCTGTAGGAGCAATACGACTTCCTGTCAGCTGAACCAGCTGCAGTGCGGAAAGGTTTACAACCTGACTGTGATTGCTGAGGATGCCACCTGTAACAGCACTGGAAGCATCAGTACAATCCTGATGACAGGTAGAAAAGAGGGAAACCTGGATAGCCTTAAGCTTTTAAAGGCAAAAAGAGAAACTTTTTTATTTTAAGGTCTTTAGAAACAACTAATTATCCACTTCTTTGCTCCTTCTCAGCTCCCTGCTCTCCCTCAATCCAGAACAGCACCCTCATCTGTGGTACCAATTATTCCTCTCTGTCATGGACGCCGATGGCTGATGTCACAAGTTACGTAGTTAATGCGACAGCACCAAACGGGCACACAGTTTCATGCAGCTCAGCTACTGCTACATGCACCCTGACAGATCTGCTCTGCAGTCAAACCTACATGACCACAGTCATTGCACGAGGAAGCCAGTGCGACAGTGCACCTGGCTCAAGCACCAACATTACCACAGGTAAGTGAATGTTGTTAGAGAATATTCAATAGATATGCTTTCTGCTAAACCTACATCAATATACTTTGTCTTATGCTTTCTTTTCAGCCCCCTGTTCTCCAAGAATTGTATCAAAGCAATATACGTGTGGCAGCAACACAGCAGAGTTCAGTTGGACTGACCCTGTGGGACACCTCAGCTTCCTGGCTCAGGTAGCAGGAGGAGGCCATCAGGATAGCTGCCAGACAACAAACACTAATTGTTCATTCCACAATCTTCCCTGTGGCTTGGATTTAAATGTAACCGTCCAGGCTCAGGGGGAGCAGTGCATCAGCACCCCCAGTGTCAGCGAATCTCTGGAAACAGGTAATAATAATACATTTTATTTTTAGGCGCCTTTCATGACACCGTACAATTTGTTAAAAAATAAATAAATAATAAAAGTTAATTAAAAAAACGCTAATAGGCAACAGAACATGATAAAAACACAAACAGGAAATCATGGAGGAGACAATCAAGTGGACACAAATTAAACATATAATGGGGAGCACTACAGTGAGGAAGCAGATTTGAACAGGTGGGTTTTTAATTGGGATTTGAATATCGTGATTGTGTCTGACTGTCGGATGTGCGGGGGGAGGGAGTTCCAGAGTCTGGGAGCAGTGCAGGTAATTATTCCACCTATGTAGAGCTTATAAACCAGGCAAAATGAAGAAAAGTAGTCAAACTGATTATATAGGTACTGGTAAAGGATGGTTTAAAGCTGTTTTTTGTGGTGTATGATATAAAGTGTAAATGATCTCTAAAGTTTCGACACTTTACAGATCCGGGCTAGCTGTCTTTGCTAATCAAACCGGCTTCTTGTTTCATCTTTATATACCAACTATTGACAAGAAAGCACATTTTCCAAAATCTCAAGCAATTGAATGAACTTCTGAACCTTACAAAGTCTCAGTTGATACACTGTTAGTAAATAACTTCCTTGTTTCTTTTCTTTTTGTTCCCAAGTCCCGTGTGCCCCGCAGAATGTTAGCGCCACACTGGTTTGTTTCAACCACTCAGCCCTGGTCTGGTGGGTAGGAAGCCCCAGTGCTGTGGGATACAATGTGACAGTGACGAGCAGGGATGGACACGCACACCACTGCCACACCAACACTACCAGCTGTCCACTACCTGACATCCACTGCGGTGAAACCTATAACATCACAGTCACACCATACTCTGAGACATGCACAGGACAACAAAGTGCAGCTTACATCTTTAAAGCAGGTGCTGAAAGGCTTGAAACCATGTTCCACATCTGAGATATCCTTACATTTCAGCTCAACATTAAACACTTTTGTTCCTCTCCCCAGGTCTTTGCGCTCCCAGTAATGTCACCGTGTCTCTGACTTGTGACGACAGCACTGTCTCATGGTCTCATGTAACAGGGGCTGAGATGTACATTGCAACAGCAACTGCAAATGATGGAAACAATCACACTTGCAGTTCTAACTATTCCAACTCGTGCAATTTCACTGACCTCCACTGTGGGGAAACCTATAATGTTACTGTTGTGACTGTAGACAGAGGCTGCTGGAGCGAGCCCAGCTCAGCCGTGGAGCTGAGAACAGGTGAGAGGACACTGTTATGCGAAAACTGTTGAAATATAGATGCAGCAATTGTGCACTGACGCTTTTCTTATCCATTCTGTATTATCCTAGCTCTGTGTCCACCTACCAACTTGCTGGGCCAAGTTAGTTGCGATGATAACACCCTGAGCCTCACATGGGACCAGAGTCAGGTGTCAGGGACCAACTACACTTTACACACTGAGAGGATAGGCACCCCCACTCCTTCAGTGCTCACTACCTCTAATACCTCACACACTTTGACCAACCTGCTGTGTGGACAGAGATATGCTTTCCGCGTGGCAGCACAGGATGGAAACTGCCGCAGCAGCTACAGTCCGCCCATAGAAATAAGCACAGGTAGGATGTGTTTCTATGGCAACGTCTGCAAGAGTTTACCTGAAGTGAAGAAAGATCATAATCTAAAATCCGTTTTTCACTTCTTCCAGCTCCTTGTCAGCCAACCAACCTGACTGCTCATGTGGGCTGTGGGACAAACAGAGGGAACTTCTCCTGGTCTGAGAGCAGTGGAGCAGCTTTCTACACTGTGGAGGTGGCGGGAGAGCACGGATACGTCACATCCTGCTCCTCCAATGACACCTCCTGCTCTGTGAGACTTCACTGTGGCAGGGAGTACACAGCTACACTGGTAGCTTCCACTAACAGCTGCAACAGCAGCAAACATACTGACATTACTTTTGAGTCCGGTAAGATATAAAGGAACTGTTCCATGACATTACATGACATGTTACATGTTAGACGCTTTTATCCAAAGCGACTAACATACTCAATACTGTGGGCAATCACTACAGGAGCAATTTGGGGTGAAGTGTCTTGCCCAGGGACACAACGACATGCTGACTGCAGTGGGGTTTGAACCTGTGACCCCCTGATCCGAACACCAACGCACAACCCACTGCGCCACACACCATGACATTTCACAATGATAACTATGTTAATGTATTTATAAAAAGAAAGTGAACATAGTTCCATATATGTCAAGGTGAAGAAGATAGCACATCCTGAGGCACAACCAAGCAGTTAAGACTAATGAACAGTTGTGTCACTCTTTACATGCATAAATAACTACAGAAAAGGTGAAGGTTAAAGTGGGCCTCCCCAGGGGGGAATCCAAACTGTTTTAGGGGAAGCAGTGAATTGAAGTTTGTTCAGGGATATACGGAGTGTTTACTGTTTTCCTGGTCAGAAATAAATAGTCTGAAGTTATGTTAAACAGCACATTCGGCTTTCCTAGTTTGATTTGTCTACTATTGGATCAATAGACAAGGGATGTCCACAGTCACAGACTTGTAAACCCCCTTGCTGTTGAGTGTGCTCTTACCTGTCATCAAACTCTCTTCCACAGCTCCCTGTCTTCCAGAAGATGTCTCAGCCGAGTTAGAGTGTGATACCAACGTGATGAATGTGAGTTGGGCACAGACCCTCGGCTTAGATGATTACACCGCCTGGGCCATCAGCACCGATGGACACAGAGCCTCCTGTAACTCAACCTCCAACTTCTGCTCCATTCATGACCTGCTGTGTGGAAAGCTCTACGAGGTGGCTGTCACCTCCTCCTCCATTCACTGCGAAATCATAGCTGGATCTGACTACAAGGTTCAGTCTGGTCAGTGTAGCACATTGACACCCATAACTGACATTATGTTTGCTGAAGAAATATGATTTGAAAGGAAATGTTCCTCTTTGTTCAACCACCTCTAGCTCCGTGTGAACCTGAGAACACCACTGTCGAGGAGAACTGTAGCAGCAACGTCATGACGGTGAAGTGGAACGAGCACAGCAGCACAACACAGAACTACACTGTTAAAGCCATGTCTGCATCAGGTGTAAACTCCACCTGCGACTCCACTGAGAGCAGCTGCTCCTTCCTGAACCTGACCTGTGGTCAGCTCTACACTTTCACTGTGATGGGACACACCAATGTGTGCATGAGCGAGATGAGCACTCCTATAGAGAAGCTCTCAGGTACGCTGAAGATTTCTTAGAGTAACAGTTTGTTTTAGGAATATGCTTATTTGCTCTTTTCTGAGAGTTAGATAAGAAGATTGATACCACTGGTCTGTAAACTAAATATGAATCTACTGCTAGCAGCTGGTTTGCTTAGATTAGCATAATGACTGGAAACAGGGGGACACGGCTAGCAACCTGCAGAGATAAATGAAGTTATTCTTTCACACACACATACGGGTATTGGGCCGAGGGCGACACCGTACTTCCGGTATCCGCCGTTTTACGCGAGGTGCAAGCAGGCCGAGGGTTTAGCCGTACACCGTCTAGGTGTTGCTAAGCTTCCTGTACTGAATATCATAGTCTATTGCCTTAATCAATATCTAGTCAACTCTAAAATACCACATATATGCAATGGCATGATAATATTATTGTGACAAGTGGGGTATTCACCTGGTGTTTCCAGAAATTAGACTTCGAGGTTCGTTTTTCCATACATCTGCAGGCAGTCTGTAACAACCCACACAGCTCTAGTTTACGCTGGTAACGACCTAGAGCACACCCCTCAAGTCCAGAGATGTAATCCGAAGACATGCAGCGATTTCTTCGGTCGTTAATTCAGAAAAAAAACCTAGTGCGCTCTGCCTGGCTACGTTAGCTAGCTGTTTATATTAGCACTTCCAGGATATTTGCACCTCCATGAAAATGGCGTATTTATATATATATATATATATGGCGCGTGTTGCATTGTGGGTAGCTCGTGACGTCACTGTGTGAAAGAATTGCATCTTGCTAATGTCTGTTTTACACTTGAGCTTTTATATGAATTAAACAAACAGGATATGTTCTAGGGAATCTATATGCAGCTAACTGTTGTTATTAGTGTATTATCACCTTTAAGTATTTTCATAAGCTCATTTACATGCAATAAAACAAATAAGCATATTTCTCAAAATATTAAAGTATTCCATATTTTATTTTTTACAAGTGTTTCCACTCATCTTTATTCTTCTCAACTGTGTCTTTCTTCTTTTCTAGCCCCATGCCCTCCCACCAATGTGTCAGCTGAACTGAATTGTACTACACTTATCGCTGTGGTGAGCTGGAGTAGCGCGTCTGCAGCCACAGCCTACAGCATTCAAGCAACCTCCTTAAATGGACACAACTCCTCCTGCAGTGAGATGGGCACATCCTGTGACCTCAGCGACCTGGTCTGTGGACAGCATTACTCTGTTGTAGTGGAGGCCATGCACACAGGCTGCTCTGGCCCTGCCAGCACCCCCGCCTGGCTGGTTACAGGTGAGCTCAACTTAAACTGTTGATACTTTAACACAGACCCAAACCTAAAAGAGTGACATTTACTGTATCACTAACATGCCACTAAGTTAGCCCTTTCTTCCTCCAGAGCCCTGTGTCCCCATGAATCTCTCCGTCCACTACAATGTGAGCACGGCCCAGGTGATGTGGGCGGCAGCACGAGGTGCCAGCTCATACTCCGTCCAGGCTGTGGCTGACCTGGGCTCGGGGGTCACCTGTAACACCAACAACACCACCTGCTCCATGAACAGCCTGCAGTGTGGTCAGATCTACAACGTCACTGTGATGGCACGAAACACCGTCTGTGACAGTATGATCTCTGAAACTAGTCGCCTCATGACAGGTTCGTCATCTCATCGGGAAAGACATGTGAACATATTTACAGTCTAGATTTCTTATTCTTAAAATATGTGTGTTTTCCCTTCTTTCAGAACCTTGCCCACCCACCAACGTGCAAGTCAGTATGGCGTGTGAACAACTCACTGCGACTGTTTCCTGGCAGCAGAGTGACCACGCTGTGGGTTATGTCGCCTACTTTGACGACCAAGGTGGCCACTTAGATTCCTGTTATGGCGCAGACACAAGTATCCAATGTGTTGTCTCAGGGCTGATGTGTGGCACAGAGTACAACGTCTGGGTCAAGGCACTGGGTCAGCAGTACAACAGCTCTGACAGCGCAGCGGTCTCATTTACAACAGGTAAAGAGAGGCACCAAAAAAGTGCATTGTCTTTACTCTTAAAAATAAAGAAAATGCACTCTTTCTAATATCCAGCAGGGGGCGACTCCTTATTGTTAAAAGTCTATGTGAAAATCATACGACTTCTCACTTAATGCATTATCTCAGTAATAGTTTTTTGCTATATAGTGTGATGATGGTATGGCTGTTAAAAGTAAAGTTGTATTCTTCTTATCCTCACAGAACCTTGCCAGACGAGCAGCATCACAGCCTTTATGGACTGTGAGGCCGACTCTGCTACAATATCCTGGCAGCCCAGCGTTGGAGTTGTGTCCTGTGTTACTGAGCTGACTGCTTCATCAGGTCACACCACCAGCTGCATCACCAACAACACCAACTGTCAGCTGAGCTCCCTGCAGTGTGGAGAGGAATACAATGTCACTGTGAAGGCTCTGGGAAATACTTGCAACCAAACTGCTCACATGGCAGGACACCTCACCACAGGTACAGCGGGTTTACCTGTACCTTGTAGCATGTCAGTCAATGTGTTAATGGAACACCAACCTTTTCACAACCAGGGGACTACTTTTAGGAAACGATAGGAGGCCAGGGGCACATTAATTAGCAAAGCATTACTAGCCCAGACCCCCGCCTTCCATGTCACTTTTTTTATAAGCTTTGTACGTTTTTTATGTCACTTTATTTACATTCAAAGAAAAAAAAAAAAAAGAAATAATGTGAATTTATGTATTTTCGTTGTGATTTTGAAAATGTCATGAATCACAATATCGTTATTGCGTTTAAGGCTAGGAGTAGAGCACTATCATTGTTTCTTCATTGAATTGAATGTAACTGTCTGCCACTAAGTTAGCCCTTTCTTCCTCCAGAGCCCTGTGTCCCCATGAATCTCTCCGTCCACCACAATGTGGGCACGGCCCAGGTGATGTGGGCTGCAGCACGAGGTGCCAGCTCATACTCTGTCCAGGCTGTGGCTGACCTGGGCTCGGGGGTCACCTGTAACACCACCAACACCACCTGCTCCATCGATGGTCTGCAGTGTGGTCAGATCTACAACGTCACTGTGATGGCACAAAACCTGGCCTGCAACAGCACTTCTGAACCCTACCACCACATGACAGGTTCGTCATCAGATTCGAAAGAATATTCCTTTCGATGCAGATATGGCTCTTAATGTGTTTTTCCAACTCATGTAAATGTGTGTGTCTTCTTCCTACTCAGAACCTTGCCCACCCACCAACGTTCAAGTCAGTATGGCGTGTGAACAACTCACTGCGACTGTTTCCTGGCAGCAGAGTGACTTCGCTGTGGGTTACGTCGCCTACTTTGACGACCAAGGTGGCCACTCCGCTTCCTGTTATGGCGCAAACACAAGTATCCAATGTGTTGTTTCAGGGCTGATGTGTGGCACAGAGTACAACGTCTGGGTCAAGGCACTGGGTCAGCAGTACAACAGCTCTGACAGCACAGTAGTCTCGCTTACATCAGGTAAACACATACATTACTCAGCATGCAGTTTCGCTTCTGTTTGTTTCTTTAGGTGTCAATTGATATACATACTGATGTGTTCCTCAGCTCCATGTCTGCCCAGAGAGGTAGAGATAGAGGTGGACTGTATTCATGATGGCGCTGCCGTTGTGTCCTGGAATGCTACTTATGGCGCAGCAAACTTTTCCCTGAGAGCCATCGTCAGTGGAAGTATTCTGTCACTGTGTGAAACTCAGCAGAACAGCTGTAACGTGACGGGTTTAAGTTGTGGAGAAACCTACAACCTCAGCTTCACCGCCAGCAACGAGCAGTGCAGCCTCAGTGCGCCGATGCACGCTAACCTCACAACGCGTGAGTTTTACAGCAAATCCTCATAAGTGGCGAATATGAACGAAGGTTTAATTTGTTCAAAATATAACCTCTGTTCACATCTTTTTGTAGGTCCTTGTCCTCCTCAGCGTGTAGATGTGTCCCTGCAGTGTGGCTCCCACACCGCAGTCCTGTCCTGGGAGGAGAGGTCTGATGCTGAGCTGTACGTAGCTAACGCCATCAAGACATCAGGAGGGCCGGTGCAGACGTGTAACTCTACAGGCTCTACGTGTCAGTTTGCCAGTCTGGACTGTGGAGAGACGTACAACTTTACCGTAACAACAGACAGTCAAGGCTGCAGGAGCCAGGCCAGCAGCACTGTGTCCATCCAAACAGGTACTGAAGAAGCTTAGTTACTTCTGCCCGTTTCAGTGGTCAAAAGTAACTAAATACTCTTTAACCAAGTACTTAATTCAAGTAACATTTTTAAGATTATTCTACATCAATTGGGTATTTCCATTGTCTGCTGTTACTCTTCTACTTCAACACATTGCATCTATAGCAGATATTGTACTTTTTACTCCCATTTATTTTTATTTTGATAGCTATGGTTACATGGCAGATTTTATGTGACCATTTAAAAAAATAGATGCACTGTTTGTTTGAGTGATTAAATTAACAAACATATAAAGAGGTTACATTTAGCTTCATCTCCACCAGGTGCTATATTCAAATGTTGCTTCCTTAGAAATAACAAAACACTAATTGAATGTACAAAATACTCTAAGGCTCTGAAAGCAATTATTTTGTCATTTAACAATAAATCATGTTGTCTACAAGATGTCAATGTCAAAGAAAAATATCAAAATCGGTGCAGATTAATTTTGTGCCCAACTCCTAATCGATGAATTAACTTAATATTTCATCATATAGGAATTTCTACTTTTACTGAAGGATCTAGTACTTTATTTGTTTCTGCTAAATTGGTCATCATCTTAATTGTTTCTCTGTCTCTCTTCATTTATTATGCTCTCCTCAGAGCCTTGCCAGCCTGTGATCGTTCCTGCTCAGGTGCTCTGTCAGAGTGAGCAGGTCCAGATCTCCTGGTACCAAGCAAGTGGTGTCGTGAATTACTTAGTAACGACTACTGGGAGCCTTGGATACGTGAAGATCCACAACGCAACCCAGAGTATTCCAGCAGCTACTTTACCATGCGGACAGGACTACAATGTGACTGTACAAGCACAAGGCAGTGACTGTGACAGCATCCCCAGCAGCCCTGCCTTCTTCAAAACTGGTATAATCTAATATCTGAGGCAACAATTCACAAAGCATAACTTCTGTCACAAGCTTGTGTTTAGTTGAGTTCTCCACCTTCCTCTCTCTCTCCCAGCACCATGCCCCCCCAGCGATGTGACGACCTACGCACAGTGTGAGTTTAACATGGGCTCAGTCAGCTGGGGGTCCAGTGATGGCGCTGAAACATATGTTGCTGTAGCAACTGGGCTTGATGGCCACGCCCACCAGTGTCTCACCAACAGCACCGACTGCAGCTGGAACGACCTGCAGTGTGGAGAGAAGTACACTGTTGTAGTGAGGGCAAAGAATGGCAACTGCACAAGCCTGCCTAGCAACAGCTCCATCATCTATATGGGTACGTCGTCTAAAGTTTGTTAAGATTTCTTCTTTTCATTTGGTATCAATAAAATGGAAAAATGTAGACAGTGTTTATCACACAAAAAAAGGGCTTATACATCTTCATATTCAGCATCAAGCTTTCAATCAGAAATGAATGACAAATTACTATTTGCTTGGATTTAAACTATAATTTCCTTAAAGGACATTCCTACAACATTGTCCATGTTATAAGTAAAAACTGAAATTGTTCTTAAAAGAAACTTAGGAAAATATAAGAAAGTAACAGACCCACATGATAAAACGTTATCATTAAATGTTCATTGTTGGTGTACTAAAACATAGATGTGGTTGAGTAATGCTGTTAATACGTCACTCATCTTTTGTTTTTTCCAGATCCCTGTGTGCCCCAGAACTTGGCTGCCACTGTGAATTGTGATATGAAAGTGGTCTCACTGAGCTGGGATGCCAGTAACGGGACAAATGTGTATATGGTATCAGGCGAGGCAGGAAACAAAACAACTGTTCTCACCACTAATGTCACCACGGCCCACTTCTCTGGCTTTAGCTGCGGACTAAACTACAGCCTCACAGTCACACCTCAAAACCAGCACTGTCCTGGAAACTCCAGTGCATCGGCTTCCATACAGACATGTATGTTCACGAAATACACTTTCACATTCAAAGAGATAAGATTAAAAACTAAATATAATAAGAGTGTGCTGAAACAGGTCAAACATGTATAGTATTTGTTTTTCCCAGGGCCGTGTCCACCTGCAGGAGTCTCCACCAGGCAGGACTGTCTCTCTGGCATCGTCATGGTAATGTGGCAGGCAACTAATGGGTCCGACTACTACACAGCGACAATGCAGACTGACACTGGCATCTCCCCCATGTGCATGTCCGACTCTAATGAATGCAGCGTCCCGGGACTCACCTGCGGGCAAAACTTCTCCGTGTCAGTCACAGCCTCCAACCAGCAGTGTAACATCACCTCCAGTCACACCACCAGTCTGCAGTCAGGTGGGGTTTAAAAAAGGCTTTTGGTTGCATAATGCTTTATCTTTGTTATCAACAGTTGGTGGTATACTTTTTTTTTTTTTTTTACATTACCAATCTTAATTCAAGGGATGATGTAAAAGGTCACAAACCAAAATTACATATAACATTGTTCTTTTAGGGAAATGTCTGTATGCTTTTATGAGGATTTTCCAGCAAGGTTTTATACTCTTTCGATATGAGGGTAGTGTTTTCCCTAAATTAAATTGTTTCAACAAAACTTTAACAAGTTATATTTAAGACAATAACACTAATATTGCAGAATATGGCAATATGTATATGGTGTAGACAATATGATATTGTTTCCAAGTATTTACCATAATATATACTGCATATACATGGATATATAGGTAAAAAATATATGACATTCTGCAATTATACTTGGAAAAATGTCATGTATTTGATTAAATGACTATATGCTCTAATCACATTTATAAAGTTTTGTTCTATATGTTTGCACTCATATGTGTCAACATTAGTTTTTAAGAGTTGGAATGACTACTCTTTTAGAATAACTGTACCTCTGCTTATCCTTATGATGATCTACAATGTATCAATGTTATATGCATGAATACATTAGGTATTGTTGAAATTCAACACATGACGTTTTACCCATCATGCTGTTGTCTTCCCTCTTCCTGCAGTGCCATGTGTTCCCACTAATGTCTCCGTGGTGATGGACTATGATAACAACACTGCTGTTGTGTCCTGGACCGCCAGTCAGGGGGCTGTACAGTACTCATTGATGGCCCACAGTAGTCATAACAACGTCAGCTGTCAAACCTCTAGCCTCAACTGTAGCCTTGACAACATCACCTGTGGCAACAGCTACTCTGTTCAGGTGGTTGCTATGGATGACAACTGCTCCAGTATCCCCAGCCAGGCTCTGGTATTCAACTCAGGTGAGACAGACAACACCAATAATACACTCAACTAGGGGTGCACCGAATGGGAAATTCTTGGCCGAAACCGATACCGAAAATAGGAAACAGTTGGCCGAAAACCGAATGCCGAAAGGCCGAAAATGATTAAGAAATATATATATATAATGTATACATTTTTTACCAATGTTGTTCAGCTACCTGATTATGGAAATAGACATGATTATGGCAAAACTTAACTTAAATAATAATCACTATTATGGGTCCATAAAACATTTATTCAGCACTTTTGAATGCATACAGTACATTTATATATGTCATGTATTATTGCTAAAAAACATTATATCGCAGTCTTAGTGTCGCCAACTCGTTTCTAATATGCAAAGATAACAAATGCGTCTATGATGTGTTTTCGATCAGACGAGATCTCTCTCCCGTCTGTGTGCGAGGGGGCGGGGCAGTTTACACACACGCAGCTGCTACATGCAGCGGAGCACACTGCGGAGATGGCGGAGAGAACGCGCTTCGAGGTGTGGTTAAACTTTACCCGTCTCGATGTGGAGAATACTTGTTACCATAAGTGCAATAAGAGTTTAGCATGTAAGCACGAGCAATTTGTCTAAACATTTAGCAAAAGTGCACCGCATGCAGACGGAGGAATGTACCGGGTTCGACCGTCTTTCTAGCAGCTCTGTAGCACCATCCACGAGTAACGTTTCCACGTCAGGTGTTATGTATGCTAGCAGCAACACACGGAGTTAACTACATGATACAAACATGGGTTAATGATTAGAGGAAACTGAGTTATTTAGTTTGTTAAAATGTCAGCTATTCTGTTTACAGTCTGTCATCAGATTATTTAATACGATTTGTTAAAGGCTCAGGGCAATCTCGATGACAAAGGTCAATGTCCCCCCCCCCCTGTGAGCCAGCCGCGAGCATGGTCGCCGCGTCTTCATTACGTCATCACAACAACACGTTAGGTTACCAACGTAAGTCTGTTCTGACATTCGGTGATATTTTTTCCCTTTCGGCCGAAAGCCGAAAGGGACTTTTTAACCATTTTCGGCCGATAATTTTCGGTGGCCGAATATTCGGTGCATCCCTACACTCAACACAGGGAGGTGGAAGAAGTACTCAGATCTTGTAATTAAGTCAAAGTAGAACTACCACGGTGTGCTCTGTAACAAGTAATAGTCCTGCATTCAAAAGGTTACTCAAATAAAAGTACAAAAGTATTAGCATCAAAATATACTTAAAATACCAGAAGTAAAAGTACTCATTGTGCAGATTGGCCCATTTCAGAATAATGTGTTTTGATTATAATTATTAATGTATTGATGTGTTTATGATATCTGGTAATGGTGGGACTAATTTGAATTACTTAATTTACTGCTGGGTAGAATGTGAATTTACTCCAGATGTAATTAAAGTGTTATTTAAGTGTTGATTATATTTCACAACATAAATCTAAATATGCAAAGTCACTAAAGATATTAAATAAATGTAGTGGAGTAAACAAGTACACGATTAACCGCTGAATTGTAGTGGAGTATAAGTAGGCTACAAAGTAGCAAAACAAATAAAAATGAAGTGAAACTTGATCAAATGTACTTAATTACTTCCCAACTCTGATAACAACCTGCATTTAGTGCATTGCATACTTGTTATGTGTATTGAGTGAGCGACTGTACCTCTAAATAGTTTACCTTAGTACAAATGATGGATCATGGAAAATGGAAAACTCAAAGACAAATTATGTCCCCATCCATGAGTTACACACCCCCAGAAGTCTGGTTCATTCGGTCCTTATCAACCTGAATGGCGGCTTGTCCATGGACAATGAGGGAAGTGTGTCCTCCCTCGTAAACGTTCATCTGGGCTGTCCTTGGCCACTCAGTGCGATACTTTGTTGTCGTCCGTTGTTGGGGCTGCTGATGATGTGTTATCCAACAGGATGCTAGCGAAAAGGTTAGCAACACAGCTAACTAAGCCAGGTAGCCTACGCTAGTTTAGCGCTAGCTGTTTACTTAGCCGAAACTCAAGCTCAACTAAGCTTGTTGGTGATTTGTGCTCATGTTGCGACTGAACCATACAGATATTTAAAAATGCAATTGTAATAAGTGTTCAGTTTGCTTAGCTGTCATTATCTCGTAAAGATCATCGCTATAAAAACCTACACACCTGCTAATCAATATTCACTTTCACTGTTGTGCGTACCTTGCACAGGACTACGCATGCGTCAACATTGTACATGCGAACTTCTGCCCCAAAGTTAACGCATGCTTTTATTATTTTGCCTTGGAAAGTGTCGTTCCTGTGCACTCCTGTGATACTGTCAATTTTACACATTAAATTAAGGAAGTTTAAGTAAGTAAGTCCTCACAGACAGGGAAGCACTAACTAAAACGATCTGATTGCATCCTCCTCTGTCTTTGTTCTCCTGCCTCCCAGACATTCAGTTACTCACTGACTATTAGGAATTATAATAAAACTAAAGACAATATTGGATGAAAAATTAAGCAAACTAGGTTTTATCACCTAAAAACTATACTTGAAGAAATATGAAAGTTGTCTCACGCACATAAAACAAGTTATTGTTGATACAGACATTTAAACACTGTTACATGTGACTAATCACAAACAAGGTGATACTAGCCTAGGGTTGGTTAACAAACTAAATTAACACAGTTTTATTAACACATGTTTTTACTTTTGTGCCGTTCATAACACACATTTCTAACTTTAAAATCTCTACTTATTCCCAGCGCCCTGCCCGCCTCAGAACGTGAGTGCTGAGGTCGACTGTTTGTCAAACGACCTGATGATTTATTGGGATGCCGTCAGAGAAGCAGACCACTTTTTGACATCAGTAACTGCAGACAATGGAGTAAACATTGGTGGCTGTAACACCACAAACACTGCATGTTCCATGAGAAATATGACATGTGGGAAAACATTCAGTGTTCATGTCACCTCCATCAGAGGCCCCTGTAGAAGCCAGCAGAGTCAGGCCTACAGTATCATGTCAGGTAAGCAAGCTTCTACAGCCATTCATCCTTGCATAAACATATCCTTTCTGTCACCAAAGTAAATGTTATGTCATTTTTACTTTCCAGCTCCCTGCCAGCCTGAGAGAATTAGTGGCAGGCTCGATTGTGTGACAAATTCTGGCTGGATATCATGGGACGCTGCTCCAGGGGCAGACTGCTATACTGTGTCAGCTGTAGGTGAAGACAACTATATAGGCAACTGCACCTCTTCCTCCAACACAACCTGTGAGGTGGAAGGCCTGGCCTGTGGTTCACTATATAACTTCAGTGTTATTGCTAAAAACAGCAAATGTGAGAGTCAGCCAAGCACCACGATCGACCTGCAGACAGGTAACACATTTCTGACTTGTTGAAAGAAATATGCATCTCAATTTTTTGAAATAATGCCCAACCCTGAGTAAAACATAAATGCATATATTCTGCAGTCAGTAAATGAAATCTGTCTGTTCCCCCAGCTCCCTGCACCCTCTCTGGTATCACAGCGGTTGCTCAGTGCCACAATTCCTCAATCCTCGTGTTGTGGGATGCCGAGGGAAACACTGTGTACACTGCCACAGCAGAAGCCAGTGATCACACCTACCTCTCCTGCAATAATACTGGCACTAGCTGCTACCTCCATGGAGCACAGTGTGGCCTCCATTACACCATCATTGTTGCCGCTTCATCAGACCAGTGCAGCAGTCTGAGGAGTCCACCATACAGAATAAGCATGGGTATGTCGATTTCTGTAGATTGTTGTCATACATTTCATACCATCTTTTCAAGTGCTAACTTTGAAGGACAGTATTGTTTGACCTGTGCAACAGTTTGACATTTTGCTTCTTTGTTTATTGCTGAGACTTGGATGATAATATAAATACCAAATTCATATCTGTCCAGTAAATATGAATCCATCAATCTTAGCATAAAGACTGTAAACAGGTGCAAATCATTACCATGGTTCCATCCAAAAATGACAAAATCCACCCACCATCACCACAAACACTCAATTAATAACACAATAATGTGTGACCATTTGTGATATTATGTCAAGAAGTAGTTTTCCTTTAAAAAGCCTTAACATTTCTCCATAATATTAACTGTCAGTGACAAAAAACGATTAATTTTTTTATCTGTAGGTATATTTATCAAATGTTTAACACACAAAACTATTTTTTCTGCACCGCCAGATTTTTGTTGGGTTGTTTTGACCAACAGTCATTGGTGGTTTGATTAAAAATGACAAAAAACACCAACTGTTTTCAGATTATAAATCCATGCTCCTAAACCCTGATTGTTGCACCAGTGTAAAAACATCACTATTTCCCACAGAGCCGTGTCCACCCAGTAATGTGGTGGTGGTTGGGTCAACCTGTGCGGACGACAGTGCGCTGGTGTCCTGGAGCCCCTCTCTTGTAGCTGAAACATATCATGTGGTCACAATGGGCGCAAATGGACATGTGCATACATGCAACACCACCTCCAGTAACTGCAGCATATCGGAGCTCCACTGTGGCCAGCAGTATGACATATCTGTGACTGCCAGCCACGAGAACTGCACCAGCAAAGCCAGTCAAAACGCTACACTTAACACAGGTAGTGGTCTTTATATAGATAGAGAATACCTGTGTAAATTCATATGTTGACCAAATATGCCCGAAGGATATTTGTTTCAGCAGTTTTATCATATCTTTCTTTTCTGTCCAGGTCCCTGCCAGCCAGATGGTCTCTCAGTTATTTCACACTGTAACAATCAGTCCGCATTGTTGTCATGGACTCCCGGAGATAACGCTGTGGACTACTATGGCTGTGCCCAGGCCGAAAATGGAGACATGCTGTACTGTGAAAGCACAAATCCCAGCTGCACCATCCAGGGCCTTGATTGTGGAACACTTTACAATTTCACTGTTCAGGCCTCAGATGGGACATGCAACAGCTCCGTCAGTGACCCAGTGCAGAGTGGAGCAGGTACAAGAGCTGGTCCAATAACTTAGAAACATTTGCACTGAAATTCATTATTACATTAAATAATCCTCTCTATCTCTTTCTCTCAGCCCCTTGTCCCCCAGACAGTTTTGATGTGGGGCTCTTTACGATGCAGAATGAAGCCCAGATGTTGTACTTCAACTGGACTCAGATGACCTGTAGAGACACTGAGTATTTGCTGGAGTTAAACGGAAGTCTGCTGGGAGATAGCCAGGCCCTGTTTGAGATCTCTTCCTATTGGACAAGCATGACGTACTTTGAGATTCCTCTCCCCTGCGGTTCATCCTACTGGGCTACAGTGAAGAGCAGGAACACTGGTGGTACCAGCCAGCCCTCTGTGCTGCTCAGTGGTACAACAGGTAAACTACACTTAACACCCAAGCTTCTGTTCAAACATTCTTACATCCTGGATTTCATGGCCTTTGATAACAATTACCTCAAACACGTACTTTTACTTGAGTACTTAAACTCCAGCACAGCTCACCACATTGTTCCATATTCTACTTTAATAGAGGCGTCATTCATTTTATTAGTTACACCTCTCCTTTTCCTACTGTGACAAGTCAAAAAAGTGATTAAACCATTATATTAACAATCTATTAAACACCTGAACTTTTTAAAGAACATCCATAAACATTCATCTGTTTGCATTTTGCAAATTATTTATCTAATATATCATTCAATTTACTTGTGTTCATTTACTCTTCTTGCACTATTTCTATTCTATTCTTTATTTGTATTTACTTGCACATCTCCAAACATTCTCTTGCATTATTTTATCTGTTTTATTTGTTCTATGTCCTATATATATGTTGCACTGTTGGAGGAGCCTGTGACCTACGTTTTTCATTGCCATATCTACACTGTAGCTAATGTGCAAATGACAATAAAGCCTTGTAACTTGAAAATTGAATCCAAGGTCTACGAGACCATCTTAGCTGGGAGAATTATGTTCCAATCAATAGCTTAAATGCCTTGGAAACATCTTTTCTAAGTAAGTCATTTCCTGCAGAGTGATGGGGGCCTGTAGGCAGAAGACGCCGCTTTTCTCTAGGCTACATGAATACAATAATCTTTCAAAGAGACATGTTGGTTATTTCGCATGAGAGATGTGTGTTTGTTTTCGCAATGATTTCTGATTCCATTTATTGGCTGCTGTCTTACTTTCAGACATTTCATCACAACTATTTCAACAATAGGGAAAAGCCAGACATGTTAAACAAAGACTCCTGATGTTTTATCTAACTGTAATTTCTCTTCTCCTAGCTCCATGTCCACCAATAGCAGTGGAGTACAGTGGTAACAACACCTTTGCCACAGTTTCATGGAACACGTCAGTGTTTGCCACCTCATACACCGTGTACGACAACAGTGTGACGCCCAGATCTCAGCTGTGCAGCACTGCAGGACTGTCCTGTTCTCTGCACAGCATCACATCCACTGACCTGGTGATAACAGCCAGCAACACAGCTGGGGACAGTGAAGAGACAAGTGTGCCAATTGGTAGGAACTGACTGGAGTGTGTGTGTGTGTGTGTGTGTGTGTGTGTGTGTGTGTGTGTGTGTGTGTGTGTGTGTGTGTGTGTGTGTGTGTGTGTGTGTGTGTGTGTGTGTGTGTGTGTGTGTGTGTGTTATATAGTATTTGACACATTAAAAAAGACACATTTTTACTGATTGTTTTTAACAAATTAAATGATGAAATCTTTCTTTCTTTAGCAGGTTCCTCAGATCGCAGAAGAAGAGATCTAAGTGGACACTCCCTAGAAAATCGTGAGTTTGTATTTTTTTTAAACAAATTTTACAAGATACATTTTATAATTGGGAAACATTCATAATTTTTAACTACAAATAGTTTAGCCCAAAGAAACATTTGAAGGGGGAGACTTGAATGCTGCTTTTGATTAGCTTCTAATGTGAAGGTTACTTTCTACGCATGTAAATTAATTAGCTTTCATGCAAGCTTTTTCATTCCTTATTTATTGGACAAACTATTCTCAAGTCAAGCTGGAACCTAATTCAAAACTGTGACTTGTTTCCTTCCAATAGGCCTCCCAGCTCCAGTACTAAATGTCAAACAAGCACTGCCTACAGTTATTTTCCTGGAGTGGTCTCCAGTTGAAGCTGCCTCCCAGTACAGCCTGCTCATCAGGAAACAGGACAGCTCCAGAGAGTCAGAGGAGATAACGGTGCAGGGCGAGAGCATCATTCTCACTGATCTGATTCCAAACTCGGCCTACTGTTTCTCCTTGTCGGCAGAGTACACTGCAACTAGTGGACCTGAGTCGGAGCCTGTGTGTGTGCAAACAGCACAGGATCTGTCCCAATAGGAAAACACTTGTGTAGACACAGCTAGGGGTCTGCAAACGTCTCAGGACTCAAATGTGGGGATAACTGTCAAGGTGGCAGCATTGTCAACATATGAGTGACAAATTGTATACCATTTACCAAATAACAATAACTTTAGTTCTGTAACCTTGTTAAGATTTCATGTGACATCTTTTGATATAACACGGGAATTAGCATGGGTTACATGTTTACACTTATGAGGTATGACTAACACATATTCCAAAGAGCTCATGACCAAAGGGTTTTTAAGTTGATCTATTCTATACTGTGTACAAAACGTATTATCATTTGCCTACTGTTGGTTGAAGTTACATATTTTATATCTGGGGGTTTGTTCTATTTCATATATTTACATTGCTTTTGTAAATTATGTAATAGTCATCTTAGAGTTAATATATCAGGGAGTGTTTACCTTTCACTATGCCTGTGTATTTTATATGGAAGCTATGTTCAGACTACATTGTAATAAAACTATCCAAAGATATTATTTGAATTCATCCTGTCTCAACTCAATGGTTGTGATATCCTTTAACTGCTATAAATATGTGATGCGATGACAAATACATGGATATTCCTTTGAAAACAAGACTAAGAACATGTTTGTAAAAGTGTTTTATTAGAAAACAAAATGCAACAGCGCAATAACCCAAACACAGCACAGGCAGGGCTCAGTGTGTGTGGTAAAAACGAGCCCTTGCAGACGGCCCTTAGAGGATTAAAACATTCTCAGACTGACGACACACACGACCATGGAGAGAGTAGCTTTGAGTAGTCATTGTCTAACAACATGGCTGCTAATCTCAAATTTGTATGTCATTCGCCAGACAAATGCAGTGTATTTATTCAAATCTATAGAAATGTGTTTTGTACTGCCTGAAAACAACAGTTATTATTTATACATTGCATAAATGATATAACGACAGTTCTTAGTTGAGCTTTCAGTGCCATGGGAACCCGACTGAGCATGCAATGCAACTCAGACCCCTGATCGTGTGTCGACTGCCTCTGAAACGGTATTTACAAATCCACATCTTCACAGGGCAAACAGACGCACCATAGAAAATTAAAATGCAATTTTTGCCACTTTTGAAATTTCAAGTGAAGACAAACAAAGGTCTAATGGGGAGTGAAAAAAGGCAGAAAAACATAAAAGTAAAGCAATATGACATTGGCCAAAGACATAAACTCCAGGTGTCCAATGTGCCGACATTCTTCTCTTCTAATTAACAACTGGGTAAAAAAGAGGGGAGGAAAACACAAGAGGAGAAGAAGTAATATTGCTGGCAGGTGACATTTACTCAGTGCTCTGACTCCTTCTGCGTCCAATATGTTTACTATGGTCATTATTGGGCTCTCGCTGATGATGGCTCCTGTCTTTGCTACCACTACGTTTGTGAGAGCGTTGTTCTCCGTCCCTCTCCCTCTCCCTCTCTCTACTGTCTCTCTTCCTGCTCTTCTCTTCGCCCCCGCTCTTGTGCTTCCTCTCTCTACTGCGACTTTGGCTCTCCTTTTTGGCCTTCCTCTCTTCTCTGTGCCTTTCCCTGTCCTCTTTATGCCTCCTCTCATCAGTCTCCCCCCTGCTCTTTTTATCTTTGGACCTCTCCCCCTCTACGCCTCTGTCTTTATGGTGTTCCCTCTCTTTCCTCTTGTTCTTGTCGTCCCCGCCGTCTCTTTCTTTGTCCCTGCGTTCGTTCTTTCTGTCCTTGCTGCCACTCTTTCTACGCTCCCTCCGGTCTTGGTTTCTGTCTGCGCTGCGGGACCGCCGTTTCTCCCTGTCCCCTCGCTCCCCGCCCCCCCTCTCTTTCTTCTGGCGGTCCCGCTCCCTCTCCAGCTCTCGGTCAAAGCTGGGGCCGTGTCGTTCTTTCTCGCGGTGGTGGCTCCTGCTCCTTGACCGTTTGGGGGACTTTTTTGGACTTGGTGTCTGTTTTGGTGTCCTGACAAAAAACAGAGCAAGCAATTACACTTTCTGGTCATATAGATAACATAACCTACATAAGTAAGAATTACAGTAAAGAGAGTCATGGCAAAAGTTTGCAGCAGGCAACCTTTTAATTGTGTTACCTGGAGCCGCGTTGTTCTCCTTGCTTTCCTTGCTTCCCTGGCTCCTCCACCGCGGGTTCCTCCTCCGGCGTCTCTTTCACGGGAACTTTCCGAGGCCTGGCCTTCATCTTCACGTCAATAGATTTCTGCACGGGCACCGGGATGCGGGGGAACAGAGTGGAGAACCACTCTAGTTTGGTCAAGAAGGAGCGCAGCATCTCTCCAACAGTCATCACACAGCCGCCCCCTGCCTTCACGTCAAGCTCCTGAAATCAAACGGTGGGAAAGAGCCATAGGAAAACTCAGTTAACACAGCCAGGCAGGGCAGAGGTATGTGTGATCGCTGTTTCAATCTAGCCTCAAATTATATTTTTTGTGATGACCAAGTACTGAAACTTCACCTCTGTTCATCTAGCTTAACCTCTCAAAACCAATCAGATGTGGCTGAATTTTCTTTGCCAATTACAGAGGATAGAGAACTATAAATATAACCAAAGTCTTACCTCATTTAAACTCTGGCTGTATTAACAGTGTGAGCGTTGATAATGAAGGGACTGTTTTTTTGATAATTTTGGGTTGCACGCCCCTTTTCTTAAAATCATCTGTTTATAACAGTAGTTCAAAAGTGGTTGCCTCTACTGTAAACAGACTGAAAATGAAGGAAAGAGCAGCGCCTGAAAACATTGAAACTCAATGCAAGATAAGCCATGGCTTCTTTTTGTTGCTTTCCCAAGACCACAATGGACTCTTAAGGGGGTGCAAGCGCTTACAAATTGCCCACAGTGTAAGAACAGATTTGGAGCAGGTAGGCAAAGTGCACACCAGTTGAAGAGTTATTGACTTGATATGGTAAGGAACAGCTGCTTTGCACTCACACACGCAACCCAACAGTGCTGAGATACAATATCCAATTCACCTGCTGCACAATGGGCATCTAAAGAAAAAAACAGGGGAATTAACCAGTTGGGAAGGATTTCATATGATCAGTTCAAATATAATGCAACAGAACATCGAAGGAGGCCTAGCTGCACAGTCTGGTGTCAAGTATAATTTTAATCAAAAAGGACCAATATGTAAGATTTAACGGCAGAACTCAAATATATTATTCCCAACTTTTCTTCTCGGTCGTGTTGAATCACGTGAAACGATGTCTATCACTACATAAGGTGCAGGTCGTCTTCCACAGGGCATACCATCTTGCAACGACCATGTTTCTGCAGTAGCCCAGAATGGACAAACTAAAACATTTCTTTCATGCTTTAGGGGTCACTACTAGTTTACACTAAATCCTACACACTGATCCTTTCAAATATGGCGAATACCTAATAGATGTATGCAACAGTCGACATGTGTTATTAGTTTGGGTATACATGTCCGCTTGACTGTGTATAAATTACTATTTATCCCACATTTTGTGGTCCTGATAGAAGCTTATAAAAATTAAAAGGCATGCCTTATCATTACATTAACTTAAAGATTTAATTTGCATCGTATACATTACTTACCCTGATAAAAATCAGCAGCAGCACAGTGAGCAAGTAACCTAGCTACTCAGGTTTAGAGCACAGAAACTGGGGACAATTAAGCCAAATGAAGGCAAAGGTGAAAAATCAGTTTATGAGCATCACAAGGGGGGGACATTGAGAGCTTTTAACATGTGTCTTTTGACAAGGTATTTATTTGAGAGAAAGAAACATCAAATTATTACCCGAAGTGACATACCTCCTCATCATCCAGGAAGCCGTCGTACCAATCTACCAAATCTGCTGGAGGCTGAGTGTATCTGAACAAAACAGAGCATAATGAGCATTTGCATCACAAATTCACATTGCAGTTACTTTATATGTATGATGTTATCGACCTGTATCAATAATACCTATACACACACTTTCAGACACATTTAAGTTAAACTTTTTATGATCTGACTCCTGCATTAAAAATAAATTGCAACTAGAACATTGCAATAAAACGTTTCTTATAGACTATGGATACATTTTAGTAGCATAGTGGCAATTAACAAATTAATTATCATCGATCAATTCACTTTTTTATGTTTTTAACTAAAATATTGCCTTAGAACAAAACATCTCTAATTCCATCAACATGATGTCTTAACCAAAATGTGCAAAAATATCTAGCAATATTTGCAAAATATTAAAATAAATCTCCAGCCAAAAAAGACCTACCGTATGTACATGAAGCCAAGTGCTCTGATGTAAGGAGAGTCTGAGTGAGTGATCAGACCCATCAGCTGTTTGCGAGTCAGCTTGAGAGTAAACAGTTTGTATAGAAGACAGTAAGCAGTAGACACAATACCACCAGTCCCGACTCCACGCACCTAACAAGGATAAAGACATATTTGTAAAGCACATCATTGCATATTATTTACAGCAAACCTATTCACAAAAACGGACCTTTGGACAATACTTAAGCATTAAAGTACAACAATGAAAGTACTTATAAATTGTGTAAATGTTTCATACTTGTAAGTCATCATCCTCGAGTTTGGAAAGGCAAATGTAGAGGGTGGGAAAAGATGGGGAATATAAAAAGCACGTACTTCTCACTTACCCCTCCGCACATTCCAGTCTGGCCTGCAGTCTTTCTGCTTCCCTTTTCCCAAGGCTCAGCGTGATTCACCTGTAGACATACACAACAATGTAAGGAGTCTTAAGGACAGTTAACACACTTACATGTGTCCATGAAACATTATTTGAGCTGCCAAAACACATCTGAAGGATCCCGCCCTGACTACTTCCTCTGAGCGTTAGTGAAGCTGGAGTGATATATGCCAGTGTTTAAATGACACAATGATAGCAACAGGTATTCATTTAAAGTATTTACTGCTACATAAACATAAATGTGATGGGTGGATTTGATTTATAGCAAGGCTGTAGATTAACAGCCATTTTAGAAAACAGATTTTTTTTTTTTTAAACCTTTGACATAATACTTTACTGGCCTTTTAGTCAATAAAGACAGACGAACGTATCAGGGAACAGTTATTCTGCTCTGGCAGTCGGAGACCCCTACCACCTGCCGCTTTTAAGCGGTCAAACCAGCATCTTCATCATTTTACTATTTCTGAAAATATAAAAAACAAACATTCAAGTAATCTTTGTTTATAACGGCACCCATGCTTTTACGTTAGTTAATGTAAGCCCACTTAGAAGTTAATGTGGCGTTGCCGATAGAAATATTAAGGTCCCGTATGTGTGCGCAATTGTTTGAGATACTCGGACATCTTCCCGAGTACTTGTGTTACGATATATAATACTAGGTCTATGTGGTGGCAGTTTCCCTTGGTATTTGACCACTATAGTAAATTGCTATCGCTACCTTTACTCAACGTTAGATAGACTGTACGGCGGTTATCTAACTAGCATGCGGGTTAGCATTTGCTAAATTTACCTTGAAGTAGATTTCGTCCACAACTTCATGGTACGTCTTAAGTTCGTAAAGCTGAACTTTGAAATACGGCGAAGACAGCACATTTGTGAGAATCATTGGGTTGAGGTTCATAGTCTTTTCGTTGCCCCACAGGGGCAATACATTTCCATGTTTTCCTGATGCAGGCTTGCTAACGGCCTGTGTTGGTAGCTGGTTTCCGACGTTAGCCATGTTAGCTAAATCCCACGCCGCTCAGGATAGTGTACAGTTAGCGTATTTCCGATTACAGATCCATCAATACAACATAGTGAAGTGTCGATATTTAACAGTTCCGTCGGTTCTCTTGTAGTTGATTTGTTGTTTAATTGACGATCACAACTTCCCGCCGTTGCTGTAACGCTAGCTAAAGCGCTGTTGCCGTTGCGCGTTGGGAACCGGAAGTGAACGTTAGTGCTGTGAACTGCGAACGACCGCTGCGTCAACAGGCTTTATGTTAGGAAAATAAAAGCATGTATGCACCATAGGTATGCACATAGTATCGATGTGTATCAATTGCGAAATTGATCACTGAACGTATATTCCGTAAATATTGTTTGTTATTATTATATAATGTGGTGAATGGAAAATATGTAAGTCGTAGTTGCTTTTTAACACAATGTATCTTTCTTAGCACGTGTTTACTTTGATATGTTTGCTTTGCATAAACCGGAAATTCAATTATCGCAATATTATGAAACTCCACCTGCCGATTTAAACTGATCTTTAACCCTTCTCTTGCGTTTCGAGTCAAAAGTGACCGAGTGACTTTGTTTTTGGTCATAAATATTGTGTTTTTCATCCAATTGCCTCAATACCTTATGTTATCCTCCACACTAGGCCTCTGAACATATACAATTGATGATCACCACTTGCATTGATTTTTTTAGTGATTTATTCAACAGTGACCCATGATGTTTTCGGTCAGAATTGTCCGCCAAAGGAAATGAATGGGTATGAGTGTATTATGTTCATCCTGCAGATGGAAAACATATACACACACAATTATAACATGAAATTCACCCCTGGTGTCATTCTGTCTGTCACCCCTCGATTCTACTTGCTTTGACTGTTCAAATGAGATGTCAATCATCAAAATTGGATAAGGGGTTCCAGAGATATCACTGCAAAACACACTGGTCAATTTTGAGCGAAAATTGTATGGGAAGGGGGGTATGACCTAACGCAAGAGAAGGGTTAAGCTTCCATTTTCGTGATATTTACATATTTAATATGGCGTGTTATACTACATGGTAATAATATCATAATATCAATATATACATCTCATTGAGTTAGTTGTCTGGTATCCCCTTAATGTTAAATGCTCTGTCTTTTGGTTATTTTATGTAATTTGTTAATTTTAAAGTGTAAACAAATATTACAAATGTGTCATGGACTCTAGAATAAATAATTGCCTAGAAGATGAAGAAAAAATAGCAAAAGTATCAAAACGTTTATTTTAATGTTGTGTAAAATGTTCTATGGCATCCCTACTGCAAAAAAACAGCAGAACAAAAGGTTACACAAAGAGCAATTTTTTTCGAAATGTATGATTTATTTGGCCTGAAATAAAACATTTAAAAAAACAAACTATAGATATCTTAAAAAACATTGTGGGCTTTACACATATGACTTTCATTATGTAGGCTACATAGTTTAGATATAACTTCTTAAGTGGCAGCAAATATATATTTACGAAATCTCTGATAAAAAATAAATTCATCGCTTCAAAGACAACAGACAAAGGCACATGCTCAGACAAATAGAAATCATACCATCAAAAGATCATGGTATTTAAATAGCAGTCATCTCTCCACCACTTTAAATGTCACAATGTCAGATGTGTACTACTTTAGATGTATGGGACTTCAAGGAACCGACTAAGTCCCCCCTCCAGCCAAACACAATACAATTAAACTGAGGAATACAAATCAACCATAAGAAAAGTTGTTGTTTTTTTAAATAGCAGAGAAACCCCTTTACAGGTTAAAGCTCACCAAGATGGGTGAACAATATGTGTTGAATTACAGTACTTAAACCTTTCAGTTTTCATAAAAGAACACCCACATAAATGTCAGTACATTAGTTACCCCAGCACCAAGATGTTCAAAATGTATGTGGCCTTCACCTCCACTTCTTGAACACTAGGGAGCTCGCCTGGTCTACAGACACTGTAGGTCAGATGCAGAGAACTGACTTGGAGAAATGAAATCTCCTGGAGTGAGGCAGGATCAAGTTCTGATGGCACCTCTACAACTCTCCAGTCTTGTGTCCTCCCGCTTCAGTGTAACATGGCACCCTTTGACAGTCACATGCTTCCTAAAGCCTAGCGCTTGATCACCACCTGCTCAAAGGCTCCAGCTGCAACCCTGAAAGAGAATATGCAATGTGTTACATGACAGGAAATGAAGGGGCTTTTATATGTAGAACTAAGATTATGATGTGAAACTGAAAGAGCATTCAACGCATGATGAGTATATTCCTCATTCGGGTTCCCATTCAGCACATTTGAAATGAATTTAGATAAGTAGTTAATGTCTGCTTTGTAGCACCAACAATCCACAATTACATAACACCCACCTCATGTGCTGGCTTCCCAAGGCTGTACTCCCACCAGGACCAACAAACAAGCTTAGCCCCTCCTCTGCAGAAATAAATAAATACACAAACACACACATACACATTAGGGGGATGTAGTAGCTAGTCTGAGTCAGACCTTTTGAAGAATATTCAGGGAAATAGTTGATGGTTAAGAAACACAATCAAAAGACACACTTTCACATAAAAAATGTATGCAACATCAGTCTCAATGGCTTTAAAGACAGGGGTAAGTAGCACGGCAGACACAGTGTGTGCTTGCCTATCAGTGAGGTTAAACTGTCCTTGTGGTATTCATAGAAATTATATTCAATCTTAATACTTGAACCCTTTATCAAATATACTATAATACTTAAAATGGAAGGTAACTAAGGTATGGTTCCATTTGGCTTCCATTTTATGGTTTGCCACCATAAACATTTAATAATTTTTAATCCATTGAAGGAAGTACTTAAAGGCGTTGCGTTGTAACATTGCAACACCCCAAAGTAATTTGATCCCACCAGCAGGATGTTAGGCAACTTTCTAAGTCCGCCTGCATAGGTCCACTAAATCACAGATTAGATGTACACACCCTCTGCACTGGAGTCCAAGAAACCGCTGCTGAAATCCTGGCTCTGCAGGATTTTATCTATTATGTCATCAGCATCCACCCTGGTGGCATCAACTCTCTTCAGCTGATTCTCCATTGAGTTCTGCTTGACTGGATGTCTAATATAGAAACAGACAAAGAGTGGAATATTACACAAATGTGCTGCATAACGAAAATATACAATATATTTAGTGGGTCATAAAAACCGTTACCAAGGTTTGTTCACAATGATCATTATGGAAAGCAGTTTGGAAAATAAAGGTTTGAAAATAAAAGGGGAAAAAACTTTACCTATGAATTTTAGCTGGGGTAGAGGGGTGTTCAGATGCATGTTGACAGGTTGCACAGGCGGGGGGAGTCGTCCTGCTCTCCCCCTGCTGGTCACTGGGTTCCAGGATGCTGCCGATGCCTGTGGAGGCAGAACCCCCTGACCCGCTCCTCCGATGGCACAGATCTGTTAAACTGGAGTGATTTGAACTGTAACCTAAAAGTAAGGAGAGAGTGAAAACATTAAGGTCATGCCAGTGATTTGTGTATCTGGTGTGGTTAAAAAGTGGCTTATGGGAATAATATATTATGTGTCCCTGGATTGGTACCTGAGATTTTTGACTTCTCACTTGCATAGCTGGGTGTTCTTGAATGGCCGTACGCTACCAACTCCTCTGGGACAGAAACGGACTTAACTGTAGAACCTAAATGATAAAAGACACAAACACTCAGTGGTGAAACTAAAAATCACAAGATGACACAGCTACAACTTATATTCAGAGGAAATGTTTCTTATTTGAGGTAAACAAAAAAGCTAGTGGAGTCACATCTTTGGTAAATCATCATAGGCTTGTGAAAAAGAACATTGAATTCATTTAAAATTGTTACTGTTGACTATGGTTCTTTAAAAGGACCATTTCAAAAGTGTTGACAACGAAAGCTGCTTGTTTGCTTCTGTCAAGAACATAGAAACTAAAATGATAACCTGGCAGAAAACTCTTTAGAGTGTGTATTTACATACCAGTTAGTGAATGGAATATGTGCACGTCCCCTCCCTTCCTGTCCTCAAGAAGACACTCTGCTTCAGCCTGTGGGTTTCCCAGGGTCATGGCAGTAGACGGGGGACTAAAGGGAACACGAGAGAGAGTGATGTTACTGAGGAGCAGGGTGGTGTAACACGCATCGCTCAGTGTTGTTAGAAAGCAGCTCCTTCAAATGCTCTTATGTTAGACACAGTTATCGGACCATAGTCTGATTAAAGCCCACACGAAGGACCAACAGTTATGGACTTTGGTCACTTTAAGTTACAGAATACAGAATGCACAGTGATTTTCTGGGATCGACTCCTTCAAAATCTATAGTGCTGACCAAATCACTCTGGTTTATGTAGAAAACCTTCATTTAGACTCTTTTCGTGCTCCTTAAGTTTACTAAACCTGTACCTGGGCATGTTGTACCTATACTGATGAGTGGATAGCATACAATCTTGTTAAATGCAATATCAAAATCTGCTAATTCCTCTGCTTCACAGGCAAAACACAATGACCCTATTGTTTGTAGCCTTTATTTAACCAGGTGAAAGCCCCTTGAGATCAAAAGATCTCTTTTTCAAGAGCCTATAACTAAAGTAACGAGAACACTCATCAAACAGACTTTTAAATGTAGAACTTGTGTAACTCAAGTGCAGTTATTTAAATGCATCACATCCTGTTGTAAGTGGCTAGGTTATCACTATATTAGTTAGTTTCTTATGTTTGGTTCATTGTCTTAATATTGTTCATTTTGCAAATTGAGCTGCTGTGATGCAAGAAACATTTTATACTTGATCTGACAATATCGTATCATATGTGGTATTGTGGACAGATATAGGATTACTTTATATACCGGACCTTATCACAGGAAACCCCGTATATGTGCTACTGAGAGGCTATGCTAAATAAAGGAATGAGGGCGGACAGTCAGCAAATCATAAAAAACAAAAGTGTCATCTCCTTCGTTTCATCACACACACACACGATGACTAACACCCCGTGGGCTGAATGACTAGCCCTGCTATTAAGATTACACTTGAGACATCTCCTAGGCAGCAGTGTGTCTACTATTACACTGAGAGGGAGTAGTAACAGGGAAAGACTGGTTATAGAAAGTTAACAGCTTGCACATTGGCAGGAGAGTGTTGTTACATCATGTCTTTGACAAACATCTCTACGTACAGAGAAAAAACCATCTGGGCTGA